TCGTTGACCTGCTCCTCGGCACTTGCTGCAGGGGCTCCTGCAGCGACTCCAGCGGCACCCGTGGCACGACGTCGCTTGTGAGTGGTTGTCTCCCGCAACTCCCGAAGCGTCTTGGCCGCGTCCTGCGCCTGCTGGCCGATGCTCTGCGCATTCTTGTACACCTCCTGGGCTTGCTTGGCCCTGTCCAGCGCCGCTTCGTAGGCTTTCTGCTGCTCTGGCGTGAGGAGGGCGATGTCCTCAGGGTCCAGCTCGGGGAAGTTGAGGGACTCGTCGGCAGCAGAAGATTTGCCTCCATCTCCTGCTCCCGTCGCTGCACCTCCAGCTCCTCTGGCCGCAGAGGTCTGGCTGGTGAGACGGTTGACCTCAGCCTGCGCCTCGGCACAAGCTCGGACGTTCTCTTCCAGCTTGCCGAGGAGCTCCTTCCCAGTCTTGGCGTTGGCCACGATCTGGTTCTTGAGCTTCTCTTGCTGGCAGTGAAGGCGGCGGAGACTTGGGGGGACATGCCCGACCTAAATCCAGCACCCTCCCAACGATGGGCAAATTTTCCACCACCACTACCATATGTAGGTCGAGGGAGAAGTGAGGAGGAAGAGGTCATCCTCCTCCTCGTCCTCCTCGTCCTCCTCGTCCTCCTCCTCCTCGTCCTCCTCCTCCTCCTTCCTTCCTCTCCTACACATGGCAGCGGTGGTGGAAAATGGGCCCATCATCCGAACGCTCTCGACGAGGCGCCTCGTCGCAGCCGCTGAAAAGCACCCTGGTGCTCGAAAACCGCCGAGCACCAGCGAGAGTGCCCGAAAATCTTGAACCGGCAGGTGCGTCCGAAGACTTCCTCGGGGCTCAAAAGACGGGGGATCAACGCAAACGTGGGTCAGTCAGAGTGCCCGATCTTGCAGGATCCTGCAGGGCCAGGGTCGCATTGACCCGGATTTAGGTGCAGGATCCTGAAGGATCCTGCAGGATCCTTCGCATTGACCCGGGCTTGTGTGCAGCATCTCGCAGGATCTTGCAGGATTCTGCAAGGCCTGACTGACCCGGGTCTGGATTGACCCAGGTCAGCAGGTCCCCGACGTCCGACTGAAGGCCGCCATGCACTTCGGTAGCATAACCATGGGAGCCTTGTGTGTCCTCGTCAATCCGTCTGTAGGGTGCATTGGCGTGCGCTAGGGTCTTGTACACGATGAGAAAGCCCTCGTCTAGTAGCGTCGACTCGCGTCGACAGGCGTCGACTAGCTCGATCTAGCGTCAAATAGCGTCGACTAGCGTCGGCTCGCTGGAGCCGACAAGATGGTACGGTAGGCTCCCACGAGTTGCCGCAGGACATGCCTTCCGTCCAAAGTCGCCCACGCGCAGAGGGGGGCAGGGGGAGGGGGGGGGCTTCTGAGAAGCACCCCTGCTCCTAAGGAGGCGCTGGCCGTGCCTCTGGATGCAGAGCCGTCACCTTCTAAGAAGCAGCCTCCCTTTACAGTGGAAACCCATGCCAAGAAGCACCCTGCCTGTCACCAGGGTGCCGTGGGTTTCTTGGGCTTTGATGGTTTTGCCATGGATAGCGTGACGTTCCCACGCCAGAAATCACTGGACGTCCTGGGGTATCAGGGCTGGGTTTCTTGTGGACGGCTTCCTGTGGAGGAGGAGGAGGAGTCCGGCGCCTAGGGTCGGTCTCCCGAAGGCCGCCCGTGTATTGCACACGCCTGGCCAACGAACTACCGCCCAGAGAGCAGCATCAGTTGCGCAGGAAGAACACAGGGGGTGACCGCGTGGCCTGTGAAGACTCGCGGCCCAGCGGTTCCGACATGGTGCGTTGGGAGCCAAAGGCATCCCAGTCGGAACAGCTGGCACGGCACACCGAGGAGCACAAGCTCCCCAGCCCTGGGTGGGCACAAGGCCCCTTGGGACTTACGTGGCACAAGCCACCGCCTCCCGAGGGAATGCCGATCCCTGAGGGTCAGATCACAATGAAATGACCTTACGGGCGCCGGCACCCGCCTCCACCCGCAGGGCCAGGCTGAGACTGGGGCCGTGCTACACCCAACGACGGGAGACCCGTCGATACAGGTTTCGCAACGTCCACCCCAAGCCCCAGAGCCCGCAGTACCAGAAAATCGGCCGGTTGCACCCCGCCCAACCTGCAAATTAAGTGCCGTGTACAGTGTGCGGCCCGCCAGGGTGCTCGGCACTGACGCCATGAAAACAGGTGCCAGGTCTTATGGAGGAGGAGGAGGAGGAGGAGGAGGAGGAGGAGGAGGAGGAGGAGGAGGAGGAGGGGGAGGAGAGCCCCCTCCCCCTACCCCCCTCTGCGCGCCGCCAGCGAGGCCCGAGGCCAGGGCCCTCTGGGAGGCCCGAGCCCGGGAGGCCGTGGCCACGGCGGCGGCGGCCCCGCGCAAGCAACCCAGGATAGCTTTCGGGCGGCCTGTTTCCAGGCTCCCAGGAGGCATCCGAGAGACCTCAAGAGATCTCCGACAGGCCTCCTGCGAGCGCCCCGAGAATCTTAGATCGTTCGTGTTTGTTCTATGTCGGTTGGCTTTCTCACCAGATCATGCTTCCAGCGCTATAAGACGGCCGAAGAGGCCACCAAAACCACCCAAGAGTCCCCCAAGACGGCCCCAACACGGGCCAAGGCGGCCCCAAGACTGCAAAAACGCGCCCTAGACAGCTCCAGACCACCCCAGAACAGGCCCAAGATGAGCCCAAGAGCTGGAGTAGGAGGCCGCCAGAGACCGCCGAGAGGACTTCCGGCACACCCTAGACCCCTGAGAGGCCCCCCAAAAATTCCCGAAGAGGCCCCCAAAACGGCCTAAGAGAGCTTCGAGAGCTGTCCCGAGAGAGCCCGAAGAGGCTAAAATCTGTGTTTTCCAACGGTTTTTGTAAATTTGTTTCGCCTTCTCACGTTTTCCCGCTTCCAACGCTCCAAGACCGAGGTTTTTGTTTGTTGGTAAGGGAATTTCAGAGTGGTCCTTTTTTTCCCCCAAGTTCAACAAATGCGCGCCCTCTCCTCTAGGGGGTCCCACACCTTCCCGGAATATCTGCGGAACGCTCCCGTTACCGCGCTTCCCGACCTCCCGGGGGGCCCCCATAACGCCCAAGGACAGCCCAAGACGACCCCAAGAAGCCCCCAGAACGTCAAAGAAGGGCCCAAGACGCTCCCAGGCAACTCTGGATAGTTAGCTTTCGGGCGGCTCTCCAGGCCCCCTGAGGGCCTCCAAAAGACTTCAAGAGAGCTCCGAGAGGCCTCCCGAAAGCGCCTGGAGAACCTAAAGTCGTTAATGATCATGTTTTTTGAGCATGGTTGTTTGCTTTCTCAACAGTTCATGCTTCCAACGCTCCCAGACGGCCGAAGAGGCCCGCAAGACCTCTCCGAGACCGCCCAAGAGGCCCCCAAGACGGCCCCAAGACGGGCCAAGATGACCCCAAGATTGCAAAGAGGTGCCCAGGACAGCTCCTGACCACCCCAGAACAGGTCCAAGATGAGCCCAAGAGCGGGAGCAGGAGACCTCCAGAGACCTCTGAGAGGATCCCGGGACCCCCAGAGAGGTTTCCAACGCACCCCAGACCCCTGAGAGGCTCCCCCAAAAAAACCCGACGATGCCCCCAAAACAACCCAAGAGAGCTTCGAGAGCCATCCCGAGAGAGCCCGAAGAGGGTAACATCGATCCTTCCCATGGTTTTTGTCCACGTTTTTCGCCTTTCACGTTTTCCCGCTTCCAACGCTCCGAGACCGAGGAATTTGGAAAAAAAGGGAATTCCAGAGATTCCGTTTTTTCAAGTTGGGGTTCCTACTCCATATCTTCGTCCTCGAGCCCCATCAAGATTTCGGGGTCACATGCAAAAATGTTTTGAGAATTCGGTTGAACTCTCTGACGCTGTCTTGGCACCCCTTTGGAGCGTCTTCGTGTCTTCTTGGCTGCCCCTGGAACCATTGTAGAAATCGAGATCCCATGATCTCATGAGTTGAAGCAGTGGAATTTTAGAATTCTTTTTTTTCAAACTCACCCCCTGCATATTTTTGCACGAAGACCTCGAGAGACATCCCAACAGACCGTGGCCTGAATGCAGAAAACGTCTGACCCACAGCCCACGCATTACAACTTGAAAAACGGGAAGTCCCACCATTCCGGTTTTTGTTGTTCGCCCTCTTGTCTTTTCTTGCACAACAGACCACACGGCCCCAGAAAAGAACCCAGGAAGCCTTCGAGGGCCCCAAATCGTTGAAAACCTAACGGCAATTAATGAGTTCTGTGTTTCCGCAGTCCCCCTTCTATACGATCCCGAGGCTTGCGCAGGGACTCCAAGAGAGCCCCTGGATGCAAGAAATGACAAGTATGATATTCCATGTGTTCGGCCATCAAGCCTAGCTCGAACTTGAGCGCGCACGAAGCGCGCGCGATGGTTCTTGTATCTATAGGGAGAGAGAGAGAGAGAGAGAGAGAGAGAAAACCAGAGAGAGAGAGAGAGAACAACAAGAAAGAGAGATAGAGAGAGCTATATATACGTATATAGATATAGAGAGAACGGGATACCAAAACAATACATGCACATCTATACTGGCCTTCGAACGGAATATCCCGCACGCCCAGAACAATTGTGGGAAAATGCGGGCAGACCTTGGGATTCGTGTCTATATTTCTTTGTGTGTCTTTGGGCTGGGGGTATGGGGTATGGGGGGCGGCTTCTTAGAAACACCCATTCTTCTTTGAAAGCGCGGGCCTTGTCTGTAGATGTAGGGCCAGTGCCTTTTAAGAAGCAGCCTCCTTCGAAGAAGCCTTCCCCCCTCCCCCATACCCCCCTCTGCGCGCCGCCAAGAGGGGAGGTTTCGGACGGGGCCTGGTGATAGGCCTCCGATCGTGAATCCAGACGTCGCTGGGCAGGTTGGGGCTCAGGTTGGGGCTCTCGGGCACCCGTCGGCAAGCAGTGGGCGAATGGGCGTCGACGATGGGCCTCCGATCGTGAATCCGCCCGTTCCTGGGCACGTTGGGGCACGTCCTCTGTGCGCGCCGCCAGCGAAGGACCCTGCCCCGGGGCGCCGTCCTTGGCGGCGGCCTCGCCCTGGGCGCTTCTCGCGGCCTGGCCCGCGCCGCTCCCCCGCGCGCCCCTCGCGGGCCCTCCGAGGGCGGCGGCCTTGGAGGCGCCTCCGCCATCGCGCGCTCCGCGGCGCGGCCGGGCCGCCGCAGAGTCGTCGCGGCGGCCAGCTCGGAGGTCAGGGGGCCCAGACCCCCTCGAGTCATGAACAGATCACGACGCGAGGTTCTTCGCCCTGGAGGCCCTTACCGGCCCTCGGGACCGTCAAACAACGATTCAGGATGGAAAAAAATGCCTCCTCCTCCTCCTCTTTCTCCCTCTCCTCTTCCTCTTCCCTTTCCTCCTCCTCCTCCTCCTCCTCCTGCCGAGCCATCGCTCGCGCCACATTCGCGGACCACTGTCGGCGATGGTGGCGCTCCTGCAAGACAATGGCTGGGACCCGCAGTCCGCCATCTGCTGGGCCATGCCGCCCACGGAGTCGGAGGGGATCATCGAGTGGCAGTTTCCTGACACGGTGTGGACGGGCTTCGTGGACGTTGACGCGCCGACACGCTGAGTGAAGGATTTAAGGAGTTCAGTTTCGGCGAGATTTTGGCGGAAGGCCAGCGAGCACTACTGCTGCTTGGGGGCTGAGCATGGCGTCGACATGGCATCGCTGTGCAAGCTCTACCAGCAGTTCACCAACATGCCGCAGGGCAATCGCATGGCGGAGGTGCTCAGCCTGGTGGTCACGGGCGGCAGCTGGCCGAGGGATCGGCGAGTCGGCGCTGCTAGGGCCAAGGCGCTGGGCCTGTCGCGTCTTTGTCCGAGGTGCGGACAGGAGGCCGAGACCATGTTCCATCGGGGCTGGAGCTGCTCCAAGAGAGTGGGGTTGCCAGCGTACGAGTGTTCGCAGGACTTGCTCCCGCAGTCCTACAGCAGGCATGACAGTGGGCAGTGCTACTGGCTGCGGGGGGTGCTGCCAGCCAGGTGGACCGAGGTGAGCTCACCGCAGGAGCACGAGGAGTGGCACGTGTCGGGCGTAGCGGCCGACAGTTTCGAGGGCCTCTCGTTCGGGAACGGCCCTGGTCAGAGACCGCTGTGGCTTTTCGCCGATGCCAGTGGCGGCGCCGACTCGGCCGACAACAAGATCAGACGCGTCGGCTTGGCGGTCATCAGTGTGAGCGGCTTCGACCCCGTGGCGCTGGACGGATCGGTGTCGGGGGGTCTTCAGGGGTACGACAGGGCGTCCCCAGGGGTGAGTTGTTTGCACTACTCGTCGCCATCAGGATGTTCACTGGGCGCGTGTGCTTTGTCACAGGCAATAGTGGAGTCGCATGCGGTGTGTGTGTGTGTGCACGGAGATATGACTCACCCAGTGGGGAAGAGGTCGACTTGTGGCCCCAACTCGGAGTGGCTTTGGCTGGGCGCAGTCAGGCTGAATGTGTTGTGTTGGTTGTGAAGTCGCATCTTTCCCCGCAGCAGATGATCAGAGGATTTGCGCCGTGGCAGTCGGTTGTCGACACCACCAGCACGACAGTCGACAAGCTGGTAGCAGGCGCGGCACGCCGAGTCAGGCTGACCGCCTCCAAGAGGTATTGTGTACACAAGCTTGAGAAGGAGATGTATCAGATACGGTTGAGACTGCTCAGAGCTACACTTGATGCTCTGGATGCAGCGAGCGAGCTGGTGAAAACGGAAGGACCGCTCAGGAAAAAAAGAGGAGGCGTGTGAACCACCGCCGCTTCCAGCCCCGCTGGTGTGTAGGCAGTTTGCGACCAATCACGTTCCTGATGATTCTGGCAAGCGTCGTAGGGCCTGCCATAGTTCCTCCTCGCAGGCCTCCAAAGCCCAGTGGATTTTAACCCAGTGTTTTAGACCCACTCCTGTCGATCGTAGGTTCTCTGCGTTGCCGTCGGGGGTCAAAGTACATGTTGGGGGGGCTGGGTACACAGTAGCCTTACAATGCGTCTGCATCAATCCTTGGGACTCTGGTTTTGCTCGCAGTGCGGGCATTATGCCAGTAGTATCCTCAGGAGCCTGGTTCAGGAATGTCTCAGGCGAGCGAATGCGAATCGAGCTGAGTATTTCAATCGGATCGACTCCGAACGATGGCCGAAGGCTGTAAGCAATGCCGAGATGCTCGCTCGTAAGCGCTCGTAGTTCCGTTTTGGCTCGCATCGCGACTGTTCTCACTCACTCACTCCTCCTCTTCCTCCTCCTCTTCCTCCTCCCGCTTCTTCGTCCTTCTCCTCCTACTCCTCCTCGTCTCGCCTCCTCCTCCTCTTCCTCCTCCTCCTCTCGCCTCCTCCTCCTCTTCCTCCTCCTCTCGCGTCCTCCTCCTCCTCCTCCTCCTTCTCCTCCGCCTCCTCCTCCTCTTCGTCCTCCTCCTGCTGTTCCCTTCTTTCTGATTGCATGAGGTCTTGGTGGGTGCTGCCTGTCCTCCTCTTTCTCCCCATCCTTCTCCTCCTCCTTCTCCTCTGCCGCCTCTCGCCTCCTCTAGGGTCGGGGAGCAACAAATTACATAAGCATCAGCATTTGGAGCTCCGCGCGGATTTCTCGGATCGGCGTCGGAGCACCCTGGCAGCGCCTCCGGCGCCGCCTCTGGCTTGCTGGCGCGCTGCGCGCACCAGGGATGGGGGCCAGCGGCGATCCTAGAAGTCCGCGCTGACCTCCAACAGGTGACGTTTATGCCACGTGTGTTCCCTGATCGGGGGATTTGTTCTGACGTTTTCGTCGGCTCTCGGCAGTCTTCCAGCTTCTTGATGCCTTCCAGAAGCTGCGCCTCGGCGAAAGCGTTCCGGGGGTGCTCGGAGCGTCCCGGAAGGCCGCCGGCGGCCCGAGGTGCGATCCGAAGGCCTCCGGGTCCCAGATCTCCGACTGTTTTATTTGTTCGGTCCAGGAGTTCTTTGCCTGGTCCTCCTCCTGGTCCTACTCCTCCTCCTCGTCCTCCCCCTCTTCCTCTTCCTCCTCCTCCTCATCCTCTTCCTCCTCTTCGATGTCGTTCCTCTGGTGCCCGTGTGGATGCCCCAAGGCCATCAGCAATGGATCTCGAGCGAAACACTGGCCCCGAGGAATGGATCGGGACCCCTGGTGCCGCACACTGAAGAAATATGATCGTCCGCTGTCTGGGGATAGTTACCGATACCGCTGCTCACCCTGGAGAGCCGCTGTAGCCACGGCTTGATTCTCCTTGAAAATTATGGCCCGGCCACACCTCAGCAGAGAGATCCGCGGCGGCGGCCGCCGTCGTCTTTGTCGTCGACGTCGCCGTCATCGTCGTCGTCGTCGTCTTCGTGGTCGTCGTCGTCGCCGTCGTCGTCGCCGTCGTCGTCGCCGCCGTCCTCGTCCTCGTCGTCGTCGCCGTCGTCGTTGGCGTTGTCGTCTTCGTCGTCGTCGTCAGTTGCGTCGTCGTGGTCGTCGGGCGTCTTCGTCAATGCTTGGGCGCCGGAGGAGAGTTGGCCGGGGTCAGCCCCTTCACTGTTTCCACCTCAGGCCCGTTGCCCTCGAGCTTTCTCCTGCCATTCGCTACCATATTCGATCGGTGTCCGGCCCCAGCCAGTTTTTACAGCCACTGCCGCTCCCGCCGTTTGCACTGCTGCCCTCCATTTTTGTTCGGCTTCCCTGTCGTCGTCGACTCGTCATTTCTAGAGAACACTTATTGCTGATCTCTGGAAACGGTTCCGCGCGCTCTCGCCTTGACGCCGGCTACATTTTCATTGACAAAGAGGCTCCCGCGCGAGCGTTGGTTTGAGCTCAAATGTGGGCCCTTGGAGGTCCAGCTACGACAACAACGGCTCCCGTTCGATACTTCCTCGCAGTTTACCCCGAGACACCCTGGCCAGAGAGGCCCCTGAACTCAGGAACGGCGCTCTCGCTCGAGAGTTCTTCGCAATTCAGTCAAGTTGGCGGAGGCCCAGCCACGACGACAAGGGCTCCTGCTCGATACTTCCCCACGATTTATTCCAAGAGCCCCCCCCGAACTCAGGAACGGCGCTCTCGCTCGAGACCTTCTCGTAATTCAGGCAATTCGGTGGAGGCTCAGACACGGCGACAAGGGCTCCCGTTCGATATTTCTCCCTTGGTATTCCGAGAGCCCCTGACCAGAGAGGCCCGGGAGTTCAGGAACGGTGCTCTCGCTCGAGACCTCCTCGCAGTTCAGTCAGTGGCCGACAAGGAAGATAGTCCCTCCGAAAAGGGGGTGCAATCGAAGACGAAGTGGGCGGGTGTCGAGGGTTGGGGTATACAGGATGCAATACACGCGTGCCAGTAAGGGCGAACAGTCTTAAAATGATCGTCGTCGTTGCCGTCGTCGTCGTCGTCGTCGTCGTCGGCGTGCTCGCCGTCGTCGACGTTGTCGTCGTCGTGGTCGTTGTCGTCGCCCTTGCCGTCGTCGCCGTCGGGAGAAGATCAGAAAGAGCAAGAGGAGGAGGAGGAGGAGGAGGAGGAGGGGGGGGAATGAAGACGGCAAGGATGCGTAGGGGGAGGTAGGATGAACAGCGGGTGTAGGAGGGCAGAAGGGGATAAGGGGGAGCAGGACGGAGTTGGATGGAGAAGATATACGGAGTATCAGCGGGAAGTCGTCCTCAGCTGCGACACAGCTTATTTTGTTTATCCATTGGCGGCCGTTGGAAATTGTGCCCCTTGTCCGTACGGTCGGAAGTCGTATGTGTGCAGCTTGACGGTGCGCGTTGCGTTCATCTGTTTGGTTCGGCCACGCCAGCTTCAGTTAGGAAGCGTGTTTCACGTTCTCTGGTGTTGGGGTGACCAAGAGGGAGCATTTGGGGAGACTATCAGCATTTGGGGAGACCGAAAGGTACCGATCAAGCTACTCCTCGGACCTCTCCCAGGGTGCGTTCTGACCGGGCTTCATCGCGAATCCAGCGATGGGGACGAGGGCCGCCCAGGAGGCCCCAAAAAGGGAAAACGAGGCGAGGGCAGGGGCATGGATACCTCCTCCTCCTCTGAGCAGAGTCTCACCGGTCCCCATGCCCACCGGGCCACAGTAGCTCAGTTCCGCAGGCCCACCCCCCCAGGTGGGGACAACCCCCGCGAACGAAGGGAACGGCACGCCTATCCCAACCTACGGGGCAAGTCGGCACGGGAGGCCAAACCCATGCCAGCGTGGATGGCGATCGTTGAACGACGCTCGCACTGTATTGCCGCTGATTGCCTCTCGCTGTCTCTGCAGCGCGTTGTGCCCTCATCGGCGGCGAGCGAGGGGGGGAAGTGAGAAGGAGAAGGCCTTCTCAGAAGGTTGGGAAGGCCCCCAGCCTTCTGAGAAGTTCTGTAAGCCTTCCCTGATTACAAAAACCAACTTCTCAGAAGGCGCGAGGGCTTCTGAGAAGCTTCCCGCCGCCTTCTGAGAAGGCCTTCTCCTTCTCATTTCCCCCCTCGCTCGCCGCCAATGAACGTCTCGTCCCCAGCTGGGACGTCGCCCTGAGCGCCTGTACCGACGCTGTGCTGTCAGTGCCAGCGTCGCCTTTGTGCTTTCCGTTGGCGGCGCGCCAAAAGATGGCGCGTGAGGCGTGGCGGCCGTCGAAGATGGCAGGTGGCCTCCAAGGAGAGATCTCTTGGAAGAGGGGGAGGAGGGGGGCGAAGAGGAAGAGGAGGAGGAGGAGGAGGAGGAGGAGGAGGAGGAGGAGGTGGAAGAAGGGGAGGAGGAGGAGGAGGAGGAGGAGGAGGAGGAGGAGAAGGAGGAGGTGGAGGAGGAAGAAGAGGACGAAGGGCGGCCGTCGAAGAGGCCGTTCTGAAGGCAAGATGGCCACTGAGGGGATCGGTGCCCTCGCAGAAGGCCGCCCGCTCTTGCCCTATGTCAGGTTCGCGCCGCGTTGGCGCGGCGGCGGCGCTGGCGCGGGGTCTCAAGACTGAAGCGCCACCAGCGGCTTGGGGTCGGCCTCGGTCGAGAGTCCTGCACTATTGAAGAGCCGCGAGCCGGGATTGAGCGATCGCGGTCCCCTGATTGATGACACTGCGCACATAGCGATCGCTCATGTCTGTCACCGTGTGGATGGTTTAACCTTGAGTCAATGCTTACCGATCCACGACGTGAACTTGTCTCTGGTCCACTGGAAAAGAGAGGGGTTACGAAAACTGTTGCATGGAGCTGATTTCGGCACTGTCGCTGGGCCCATCCCTTGATACGGGGCGACGTCACCGGCTTGTTTTGCATCCTGTCGCAGCCGATGCGATTCGATCTCCGCCCCGTGCCGATGCAGCCCGATCCGACCTTCCGATCCGGTTGTGATTGATCCTGTCAACGCCGACGTTAGGGGCAACGTCAGGATAGGCTCAGGGGGGATGCCATCCCCTCCTCCTCCTCCTCCCTCCTCCTCCCTCCTCCTTCTCCTCCTTCTCCTCCGTCTTTTCCTCCTTCTCCTCCTCCTTCTCCTCCTCCTCCCTCTCCCTCTTCCCCCCTCCTCCCCCTCCTTTTCCTCCTCCTTTTCCTCCTCCTCCTCCTCCTCCTCCCTTCTCCTCCTCCCTTCTCATCCCTCCTCCTCCTCCTCCTCATCCTCCTCCTCCTCCACTTCGCCCACCGTGGTCCGAAGGCCCACCCCGCCCTGCAGCGTGCGGACTCGCCATCCATCGGCGACGTGTCGGTGGGCCTGTCGCCGATCCATCTGCGATGCGTCCCCGATTCCAGCTCGATGTTCCCTGCCACTGCAGGGCTCATGCCGATTTCTCCCATTCGATTCGATTCGATTGCTTACGATTCCGATTCGATCCGACCTGTGACTCTGATTCGGGTGACGGACTCTTATCGGAAGCATACCGGCCTGTCAATGTTTGCCGATTCCATTTTTCCCCTTTCGGCTGCCGATTTCCGCTGATCCGACATATCGATTCGATTTTGGGGGCTCCTGCACTGAGCCAGCCCTTCCAGATTTTGGGTCATAGTTGGATTCTCTGGCGGCCGCTCGGGACGATTCGGACAAACCTGGAACGCCCTCGACGAGGCAGCTGATGGCGCTTGAAGCCACCGAAAATCCCCGAGCACGCAAGCAGGAGCGAGGAGGAGGAGGACCTCGCTGCCTCTCTCCCTCGGCCCGCAGCTTTCCAGCAGTCCCTCACGTCCCACCCTCGCGCTTCCCCTCGGATTATAACTCGGCTGTCTGGCGGGGACGACTCGGGCAGCCGCCCGAAACGCTCTCGGCGAGTCGCAGCTGGAGGAAAGAATCCCGAGGCTGGAAAGCTGCCGAGAGGTGACGAGCATGTCGGAAGCCTTAAACCTTGATCCCGAAACTCGGGCCCTCGCCCTTGACGTCCGCCTTCAGCTACACGAGCCTGCCGCGCCCACCGTCGCACCCCGCCCGGATCTGTGCCCGGGAGAGGCCGCGCTGGCCGCTGCCGGCGCAGGCTTCACCGAAAGGCGTCCGCCGTGGGCCCGCCGTCTCTGCTGTAGGGGTTCTGCAGGCTCTACAGGAGAGGAGCAATATGAGCTGCTACGTCGCATTGTGTTTTTTCGAGCAGTGGCGAAACGTCCCGGCGTGTCCATAGGCCTACCGTAGAAAGTTCGAAGAACCTTTGTGCGGTTAATGTTATTCTAGACGCTTCGCTTATCCCCACCAGCCCATCCCGAAACGATGTCCAGGCGAGTTGAGGTGATCAGAGAAGTGCGGCAGCAAAGAGGAGGACGGCCGAACCGTGCAAAGGAGTGAGGAGGAGAAGGAGGAGGTGGATGGATGGATGGATGGATGAGGGAGTGGGAAGACGGAGGATTATTAGGATGAGGAGGAGGCGGCGGAGGAGGAGGAGGAGGAAGAGAAGGAGTAGGAGCAGGAAGGAGGAACAGGAGGAGGAGGAGGAGGGCAAGCACAAGGGCCAGAGTTCTCTTGGATGCCTCTAGGAGCCTCTTGTGGAGTATCTCTTGGGCGATTCTTGGGGGCCTCTTGGGACGTCTTGGGGGTCTCTTGGCGATCCTGGGGGGCTCTTCGGGGTCTTGGGTGCCTCGGGGGGGGGGCCTCTTGGGGCCTCTGAGGGTCTTCTTGGAGGCCTTCTGGGGGCCTCTTGGGGGCCTCTTGGGGCCATCTTTGGGCCATCTTGGGACCTCTTGGGGCTGGAGGAGATCTATCAAAGAAGAGCTGAGCTTTAATTAGCGGTGCCCCCCCAGGAGGCCAAAATGGGGCCAAAACCTTGCTAAAATCAATGATTTTGGCTTCCTCGCCGAGGCTGTTTTGGACGCTCTGACCGCTCCCCGCCCCTCCTGTCCAGGTCAGTGGGGAGGGGGTAGGGTGAGGGGTAAACCCCTCCCCGATGGGGAAGAGGGAGGGGTGGAAGAGGAAACGCCCTAAACCACCGACGCCCAGAGGGCTGGTGGGATTAAAACAGTTTTGGCTGGGACTGCCTTCTTTTAACACATCGGGATTTATGTTCTAAGAACAGTGTTTGTGTTCTTAGACGACGTAGGTGTTCTAAGAACATGTCGTGGTCGTCCTATAGGAATGCCGGGAATGCCTCAAATTGTGCTTCTTGAGGTCAAACATATGTTCAGTGTTTTGAGGCACTGCTTCGTCGCAGTGCTTCTCGAGGAGTTGCTTCGTCGCGTTTTGGAGCCGCCTGGGGGTGGCAGGTGGCACAGCACTGGTTCTGGCCAGCAGGAAGGGCGGGCAGGTTCTCTGGGCTCGGGAAGTTCTTGCCCCTTTTCGGCCTCTGGGGACCGCTCTCGGGCCCCAAGACCGTCAGAAACGGATCCCTGGTGAAACCCTGCACCAGACGGACCCCAAAAGCCGGGGGCGGCCAAGAGGGGGGTGATGACTAGGGGGGGGATGTCATGGCGTGGGCCATGATGTTTCCCCAGAATTCATGGCGCCTATTCTTTTTTCATTACGTCTCTGCCCCCCCCCCATAGGCCGCGCACATGCCGCCAGCCATGATTTGCGCCCCCCCCCCCCCTCTTGGACGCCCCCCTCCTGGCCGTTCCCGAAGAAGGGTTCCGGAGACATTCTGAGCGGATTTGGCTTCATCACCCCTCGACCGACTGCTTGTGGTCCCAATTGGTACTTTTGGCTGGATTTCGGATACATGTAGAATCTGATGTTTCACCTCACGAACCTTACGGACCTTATTCTTTCAAGTTCTCATGTGATGTATAAAGAGTTTGCCAATAGAAGCCTCAGTCCCATCATCTCCCCAAAAAACCATGGTGAACAACATGCACCAGAAGGGCGATGTCGGTACACGACCATTATATATATTGCCAAATCCTTGCGCGATCATCATGAACACCACCATCTCCATTCGAATGTTCATTATTTCTGAAACGTTTCGTCGTTTCGGTTCCGACGTGCAGGCGCGTCTTTGTTTCGAACTACTTGTAGCGCGCCCAACAGCCTTTGGCACCAAAAACATCCTGGTAGCGGAGCTGGCCGTGACCAAGTCCATCTGGCGCCCCCCGACGGCGTGCCCCCCCCCCCGCGCGCGCGCATCGGCGACATCGCGGGCGATCCACGGCTGACCGCGCAACGGCATTGGGCTCGGGCACAAACGATCAGCCTGTGGCGCTCGGGAAGTAGCGAGGTAGCGGGCGGAGTTGGCAGGTCGACAGCAGCAGCGGCGGCAGGCGTCGACTGGCAGGGGGGGCGGCCTCGAACCGCCCGCCCTCGACGGACCCGAGAAGCACGGGCAGGAGCGGACCTTCGTGGTGCGCTTTTCTCGGGGGGGCGGACGCAGGTGCCGCGGCGCCTGCTTTCCTCGCAGGGCGGCTTGGTGGTGCGTTTTCCTCGTGGTGCGCTTTCCTCGCAGGGCATCTTGGGATCTCGGGAAAGAGCCCGACACTTCCGCAGAACGCGTTCTGATTCGCAGGGCGACCACTGCGCCGCGGCAGACCTTCAGACGTTCTGCAGCTCGGTCATGACCGCGAAGGGCAGAGCTCAGCAGATGATTCGGGGAGCTGATCAACCGAACGGGGCAGCAGCTTGGAGAGTGCTGCAAACGTCCAGGAGTTTTTCCGTGCCCTTAGCGGATTTTGGAGAGGTTCGCGCGGATTGGGGGCGCAGCGTCGCGCGGTATGAGAAGGCGGCCGGCGAAGTTTTCAACGCGGGCGCGAAAAACAACTTTTCCTCCCAGGAGGCGCCAGAGAACGTCGGGGCGATGCTCCGGATTGCAGGCGAACGTGCCTACGACGAGCACGTGGCGGCCACTATTAAGCACTCGCCGACGGCGACGATCTACGAGGGCGGGTGTCATGGGGACCCGCCCCCGCCACCTGGGCCTCCAGGGCCCCCCCAGTACCGTGGAGGTCGACGCGCCAACTGCGGCTTGTGTCCAGGGCAGAGGCGGGGGCCGCGGTGGCAAGGGCGGCGGTGGTAAAGGCGGAAAGATAGAAGGAAAGACCGGTGGGAAGACGAACCAGACGGAAGCCAGCCCGAGCGCAGCAATGGCGGGCGAAGGGGCCGCTGCTGAAGGGGCTGTTGGCGCCCGCCCTAGGCGGGCGGAAGGGCCGCGTCCCGGGGGCGTGGTCGCGGCGGCCCCAGAAGCAAAGGCAGGGCACGGGCCAGCCAGGGCGATTTGGTCAGCGAGCTATCAGCGTCAAGGGATGATTGGTCGCCAGTGGGCTCGTCATCTGGGAGCGCGGCGGCGTCGACCTGGTGACCTGTTGTTTCTTTGCCAGGCACTTAGACTTCAGGGGCAGGCGACGCAGGGGGAGGGTCGCATCCAACGCGCTGCAGGCGACGACCCCCGAGTTCTACCTGGAGCCAGGCTGCATCTTCGCGGTGGCTGAGAGGTCTATGATCTACAACGCGAGGGCCGAGGGTGTTTTCGCGCGTGCAGATGCCCATTGGCAACTGCGCGGACGAGCACGTGCGCGACCAGCACGACTTCTCACGGGTGCCCATTGCACCCAGCAGGGGCCATAGTTTGGCGGCGTTTGACGGCGCCTCGCTGAAGCGTCGCGGCCAGGAGGCGGCGGCACCCTACATCGCAGGCAACCGCAGGATCGACCCAGGATTCCCGGTGACGGACGTGAAGCAGCCCATGATGAGCTATGGCAAGTCTTGCGTGAGGAGCGGCAACCGAGTGACACGGCACGGCGGACAGGGGTGAGCATTGCGACGCGAGACCGCGGGATTTTTCAAGGTAAAGAAGTTAAGCAAACATTGTGCCGTCGAGCGCTGGGCGAGGGGCGGGCGGGCCCAGGACTGCGCGACGGTGAATGGCGCGCTCGCGGCGCCGATGGGAACGCCCGCAGCCGAGCGAGCGACCGGGGGGGCGACGGCCATGTGGCCGATTGGTGGCAGGCGGGCCACTCGTGCAGGCAGTGGGGCCCGACCATCGGCAGGCGGCCGACTCGCTCAGACAGCGGGGGCGCGCCCAGCAGCGGATGCGTTGGCCGATGCGCCCATGGGCGGGCCAGCTGCGCCCCCCGACGATTGCGCCCACCAGGAACCCGAGCTTGTAGCGCAGAGCATCGTGGGATCACGTGGACCGAGTGCCGAGGAGACTGAGAGGCACTGGCTAACGCGCGACCAAGCAGCGCCCTGGGGCGAGGTCTGCTTGCCCATGATGTGGCGCGCCACAGGGCTAACTGCAGGGCCGTTATCCTCCCGCTGATCAGTTCCGATGGCTGTCAGGCAGGAGAGGGGGGGAATCCAGTCAGCTTCGAATTCGCGGTCGGGAACGACGCTTCCGCGGGTGGCGTACGGAGCGCAGCCGTCGTCCAGGTTTGGCGACCCTTGCGCGATAGCCTCGGCGGCGCTGCGGTTGGCTAAAGGCTAAACTGGCGCACTCGCGAGTCGAACAACAGACGGGGGGGGCAGCGTGGCTGATCCTGCTCATGGCGGCGAGGAGGAAGGCGCCGCAGGATGGGGCCTAGGCCACCCTGACGAGGCCAGCGGGGAGTTGCAACTCCCAGGCCAACGGACAGGCGCGCAGAGTCATCCAGACTGCGAGGAAGCAGGCGAAGACCCTCATGTCGGCGGCGTGGGAGAAGACGGGGGGCAATCGCTTCGCGCTGGGTTGCCCCGGCCCTCGCGCGGCGCCCCCGCCGCGCAGAGTGGCTCCACGACAGGTGCGCGGTTTGAGAGGGCGCCAACCCGGCGCCCTGCGATATGGCGCGCGAGCTGAAAGTGCCAGTCGCCGATCGCGTCAGTCGGCGAGGCGGAGATCTGCAGACGACCCGGGGCCCAGGTCAAGAGACTAGGGCTTCCGTGGCTGGAGGGCATCTAGCTGGGCGGAGATGCCGGGACAGACGAAGGCGCCGTCGTCGCCCAGCGCGGGTCGCCAGGTCATGGGTGATCACGCGGAATAACATGGAGTGCAAGCGCTGGAGCCAGCCTTTTTCCGAGGGGGTGGCTTGGGCGCGTCGGGGGGGCCGTCGGCGCGGAGATCGATGCAGGGGCCGATCATCTCGGGGCCGACCCCCTGGACGGTGGAGGCCCCGCCGCCGGCCCCGCCGGCCGGGGCGGCGGCCGGGGCGGGGCCGGCCGGGGCGGCGGGGGCAGCGGCGCCCGCAGGAAGCGCCTCGCCAGGAGGGGGAACCTTACCAGGAGGAGGAGGATGAGGATGAGGATGATGAGGAGGAGCTACGTCAGGAGGATTTTCAGCAGCAGCGAGCGCTCCTGGAGCTCCAGGTCACTCGACGACGTCGACGTCGATGGGGCCAGACTGCAAGTTGAGATCTGCAGGCGTAGACTGCCCATGGGCGGGGGCCCAGGGCCGCCGGCTCAGGCGGCGGGGGCGGCAAAGGCGAGCAGCTCAGCGCCGCCGGCGCAGGCGGCGGCGCGGGCGGCGCCAGTAGCTGAGGCAGCGGCCCGCGAACGGGGGCGAGTCGGAGACGACGAAGGCGACCAGGCCAGGGGCCAGTCGCGGATCGCCGCGATCTGCGCGGCCCGCGAGACGCGCGAGGGGCCGGCGGCGGAGGGCGAGGAAGTCCACGCGAACGGGGGCGACTGCCACGTGGCATGGATGGAGCGCCCCAGGGAGATCGCGGGCGACGGCGAGCAAATCGCGGAGCAGATCCCGGTCGTCGAGACGACCTCCAGGGCCCTGACCGGCAAGTGATTCAACGCCTAACAGGCGGGCGGCGGCGAGAGGAGTAGGTGGACCACGCGGGAATTCGAGCAGCAGACAGCAGACCTACGGGCGCGAGAATTTCACGACCGCCTTTCCGTCACTACCATACCTGATGGCGATGGTGGCAAACGCGGAGGTGAACGGCCGCGCGGTGGCATCTGGCGTTTGCAGTGGGGCATTATAACTGGCGCCCCTGACGGAACAGGGATGCCGGCAGTTTGCGCATGGCAAGGGCGGCGCGCGTTCCCAGGACTCACAAGGGCGCCCATTGCTTGGGGTCTGCCTGGCAGGCCCAGGGAATCGGTAGACCAACTGCCGGTCGAATTCGGCGAGGAGTTCAGGCTCTCGGGCGCAGTGGAGCCACGCGGCGCAGGCGCTCAGGAACGCGTGGGTCTGCATGACCGACGGCGTCTATGCCATTGCGGGAAAGTCGTCGCTGATCGAAGACATGCTTCGTGTTCGGGTCGCAGACAGCGAAATCCTCAGTTGCCGCGGAGACGACAATCGAGGCTCAGCAGAAGGACGACGACGTGATCCTGAACGCAGCAGGACTCGGCGCCAACAGGATGCGCTCGGGAAGTTACTGCCTTTGTCAAGCCGCAGGGCTGACGTACAGAACGCAGTTGGACTGCTCATGCGCGTGGTGGTGCCGGCGCAAAGAGACGCGCGCAGATTGGGAAGACGGCGAGGTGTCTGGCAGGGTCCAAGGTCTTGGAGTTGGCATTGCAACCAGGCGCGCAGATCAAGCAGATCGCGCAGCGCCGCTGGAACGCAGACTGGGCACGCGACAAGGGCGACTGGACCTCAGTCAGCGACTCTGCACTGAAGTACTACGGGTGCTCGTGGCATCGCGGGCGCGGCGTCAGGGCGGCGCGGCCTTGAGCTCAGCGCGAAGCGAGCGTTGTGCATTTGGGTCTGGAGCGGGCGGGGCGCTCGGACTGGCATAGTCGATGGGCGATTGGAAGGGAAACGTTGCGCCTATCCTGGCGGGCGACAGCAGCATCGCACTGCGCGTCGTCAAGAAGAGAGGGCCAGGTCAGATGACGCACGTTGAGAGTAGGTTCTCAGCGCAGGTGTGTCGCGAGCAGAAGCGCGTGGAATTTGAAAAGGTCCACGCAGACGACCTGTGAGCCTGTCCTGCATCATAGGTTGCGTGGGGGGGCCGTTCCGCCCGCGCGGCGACGACGGCGACGGCGAAGTGCCCGAGGAATTTCGGGCAGTCCGCGGCAGGAAGAGAAGCACCAGCCAACAGAGTGGCTAGGAGACGCGGGCCAAGAGCGGCCCTGGCAGAAACAGACGCAAGACTGACGTTGGGGCCAAGGTGCCCCGCCGAGCCGAGTTGTCCAGACATGCCCTCGCGACCCCTGGGCCCGCGGCCCTGGCGGATACGAGGGATGTTGAGGTAATGGCTACCATGAGGTACGGTGTACCTTGGGCTTAGGTCGCATGGCAGATGTGCAACTGTGCGCGCGCTCCGCAGCTCCTTTGGCACGAGAAGCATCACTGCGACCACCGCCTCCTTTTTCTACCCGTCAGCACAGCCGCAAGCATTGCCCAACACAGCTTGTATCAGTTAGTGTTTAACCGCAGCAATGATCACACATGCAGATTTGATTCATTGGCGTACGCCTCATTGCCGACCCCTTGGGGCGGCAGCAATCGTCCCCCGCGTGGCCTGTCCGAACAGCCTGCGAGGTCCCTCTAGACACGTGTTGGAGCCCTTTCAGGATTGTTCTGCCGTTCCTCCAGGCTGTTGCTATGGTTTCTGGGGCCTTCGTGGATCGCTCGGAAGCCGTCTTGGAGCCTTTGGAGCCTCTTTGGGTGCCAGAGGTCGATCTTGGAGGTTTGCTGAGCCGCGTTTGCCTCGTGGAAGCCACAGAAACGAATGTGTTGAAACTGTGCGCTTTATCCGGGGACACTGGGACTGCTTTTGCTTGTGGAGGCCTTCTTGGGGCTGTCGTGGTCGCGTTTTCAAACGTCTTGGACACCCATGGGGCCGTCTGGCGGCGATCTTGGGCGGTTTGGGCCGAATCGTCCCCCGCGTGGGCCGTCCGGACAGCTTTTGGGAGCCCTCTTGGCCCGTTTTGGAGCCCTTTTGGGACCGTCCTGCGGCTTTCCTGGGCCGTTGCTCTGGTTTCCGGGGCCGTCGTGGATCGCCCAGAAGCCGTCTTGGAGCCTTTTTGGGAGCCCCTTCAGGTGACAGGGGTAGGTCTTAGAGGTTTATTGGGCCGTTGTGGGTTTCGTGACAGCCCAAGAAACGAATGTTTTGTAAATGTACGTTTTGCCTGAGGACAATGGGATTGTTTTTGCTTGTGGAAGCCTTCTTGGGGCGCCTCGTGGTCGCGTTTTCAAGCGTCTTGGACACCCATGGGGCCGTCTGGCGGCGATCTCGGCGGTTTGGGCCGAATCGTCCCCCACGTGGGCCGTCCGGACAGCCTGGGGGCCCCATTACACATTTGATTATATGCGTCGCGCCCCTGATATTTTGCAACGTACCGCGCACGTCGGGTCCGCGCTGGCCGATGTGCTCATTGGGAAGGCCACGCGGCCGGTGCCGCCGACCCTGTATGCGGGACGTCTCTCGTGACCCCTCGCGCCGGCGACGGCGACGACGATGACGACGACGACGACGACGAGTGAAAAGGAGCAGCATCTCCCACACGCCGACAGGGTCGGCGGATTACCCCTCGTGCGGTCGCAACCTTTATATTGCATGCTGGCATATCAAGTACTTGCTAGTTCCGCTGCCTCTTTGTGACTTTTGCTGCTGTTGCTTGGAGTTCCGCTCACTGGTTGGTCAGCCCTCCCGCTTTTCTCTCGCCTCCACTTCGCCCGGCCCCTCCCCGCGTTCCGTCCGCTCGGTACCTTGTCGCTCCCGCCGCCGCTCGCCGCCCGCCGCTTGGGTCGCTGCTGCGGGGTCAGCGGGGGCCTATCAGAAGACTCCGCGGCATGACAATTGGCTGCGCGAGGTCTCTGTTGGAGGAGTCGGGGGGCGCTGCAGGAAAATTCTGCGATCTACCCCTCAGGGGGGGAAATCGCCGCCCCCCGTTCGGAGCCGACTAAGGCGGGCAGGCCCCGAAACTAGCCCGCCCGCCCGCTCGCCCGCCCGCTCGCCCGCCCGCCTGCCCGCCCTCCTCGCTCGCTCTGCCCGTTCTCCTCGCCCGACGCCCCGCCCGCCCGAGCGCTCGCTTCGCCCGCTTCCGCGAGGCGCGCGGGTGCCCCCGCGCCGGCCGGCGCCGGCGCGCCGCCGAACGCGGGCTCCGCAGGCGCGGGTTCCCGCCGTGGACGCCACCGCCACCGTCGCCGTCGTCGCTGTCAGCGCCGCCGGCGCCGGCGCCGTCGCCGTCGGTGTCGCCGTGGTCGGCGTCGGCGTTCGTCGTCGTCGTCAGCGTCTTCGGCGTCGTCGTCGTCGTCGTCGTCCTAAACCCCTGCAAGCGGGGCGTTTGTAAACGGGCCTGTAGCTAAGAGTGCGTTTTCAATGGTGTTTTCAGAAAACTGATTGGCCGCGCGCAAGTGAGAGGTACCCCCCCCGCCCAGAGTTATGATGATGTATAGACTTTTTTTGGGGGGCCCGATGCATCACGCACTAGTCCGGGGTAAATGCCCTGTCACCCTGTTCTCGCTTGTGGAGGCTCCTTAGCTACCGCTCCGTTTACTCACGCCCTTTTTGCAGGGGCTTGGTCGTCGGCGTCGTCGTCGTATTCGTCGTCGTCGGCGTCGTCGTCGTCGGCGTCGTCGGCGTCGGCGTCGTCGTCGTCGTCGGCGTCGGCGTCGGCGTCGTCGTCGGCGTCATCGTCGTCATTTTGGTCGTCGTCGTCGTCGGCGTGGACGATTGCGCCGCCGCCGCTGGGTGTGCACTTGACAGCGGGGCCCCGCTGTCAATGTGGAGGCAGGCAGTGGGGAAGAATCAGGGGAGCGGTTCAATTCTCCATGTTGGCAGTGTGGCTCCGCTGTCAACGAGAACCCCTGCCCCCGAGGCGCGGGTTGCCAATTTGACAGGTGGCCCCGCTGTCCGCGCGGATATGGGCAGCGTGGGTTGAGCGAGAACCTAGTGCAAATCTCCATGGTGAAACTGGGGGCCCGCGGTCAAGATGCCCCAGGTGGCCGTGGCGGGGATACGCTTTAGACAGTGCGAGGGCCCCTTTGTCAAACAGGGCACTGGAGGAGCATCTCCTCTTGTTGACCGTTTCGGCGCCATTGTCAAAAGTCTCCAGACGTCCGAGGGTCGAGGATGGAATGTGCATCTGACGGTGGGACCCCGCTGTGACCGGCCACATTGGATTGCCCCCCCGCGGGGTCGAATTTGCAATGTGAAATCTGGTGGGGGAAGTAGAAGAGGGGGGGAATAATCTCGCACGCCATGAGATTCCAGAAGGTCCAGCGGATTTCAGCTTCCCAGAGGCGTCTTCGGGACTGTGTTGGACCATCTGTGACCACCTCGGAGGTATTCTCTGAGCAGATGGCGTGGCGGAATCAGACTGCTGTATAACTCTCTCACCGGCCATCCCGGGTGTGGTTCAGGCCCTGTGGCTTCGCCAGGGTCCGTCAGCAAAAGAGAAGCAAGGCTGCCAGGTGGCCGAAGAGAGCCAGATGAACACTTCAGGAGGTTGGCAAACCTCGCCCGAAAACGCTTTCACCCACGACCCCCCTGGGCCTTCTATGCCTTGCGCCCGAATGTCCATCTGGAGGTGGGAGCCAGGTTTGGCCGAGTCCCCTCCCCCGCCACCCGCTGACCCTGGCTTGGGAGCTACACCTCGCGACCGGCCTGGACTCGGGACATGGCACTGGCTGACCTGGATGTGGTTGAAGGGTACATGCTTTCATTGTGCAGCGTATCTAAGAACATGAACATACGTATGCTTTCGGAATTGCATGAATCAGCGCAAGGCTCCCCCCCTTGCCCACGAAGCGCGCGTCAAGGGCCGCGCTGGAGTCGCCACCAGTAAGGTCCAGCGCCGATCCATCCAAGAAAGCAGGGAGGTCCTCCGATGGTTTAGGCATATGAAGCTGTTCTTCGTTTTGCGTAAGAGTGGTCCTGTGCCGGAGTGACCTTTCGGTGCGGGGCCACAGCCTCCCCAGTAGTGCACATTCGTCCTCCTCTCTCGTCCTCCTTCCTTCTCGCTCCCGCACTCATCATCATCATCATCATCATCATCATCATTATCATCATTATCATCATCATCATTATCATCATCATCATCATCATCATCATCATCATCATCATCATCTCTCCGCCGCCCCTCACTGTCTCTCTCTCTCTCTCTGTCGTTCTCTCTCTCTCTCTCTACCTGTCTCTTTCTGCCTGCCTGCCTAGCTGTCCGTTGTCTGTCTGTCTGTCCGTCTGACTGTCTGTCGGTCTGTCGGTCTGTCCGTCTGTTGGTCTGTCTGTCTGTCTGTCTGTCCGTCTGTCTGTCTGTCTGTCTGTCTGTCTGTCTGCCTGTCTGCCTGTCGGCCTGTCTGCCTGTCGGCCTGTCTGCCTGTCTGCCTGTCTGCCTGTCTGTGTGTGTCTCTCTTTCTCTTTCTCTGTTTTTTTGTTCCCTCTCTCTCTGTGTTTCATTATAATGGATTCTAGTCTGGAGCATACCTAACTCTCTCCCTGGAACAATAATTTCAACGATCTGGAGGAACAGTGAAATTGAGACAGACAGCTCACCAGTTTGGTTTCCAACAGTCAAGAGAAAATCTAGCAACGAGATCGCATTCGCCTCAGATAAGCAGATTTGGGTCGGGCGTTCACAGGGTCGGGATGGAGGAGAACTGGCAACGGTAACGCGAGGTGTAGATTTGGAGAGCCGTGGAAGTGCACAGTACTGCAGGACCCTCAGTAGGCGGCTGACGGAATCCCACCACTCGGAGCTGGCCACCACCAAAGCCTCGCCTTCCTCCTCCTCCGCCTCCCTCTTCCTCCCCCCGTCCCCGTCGTCCCGTCCTTCCTCCTCGTCCCCCTCGTCCCCCTCGACCCCCTCGTCCCGTACCCCTCGTCCTCCTCCTCCTCCGACAGCGGGCGGCTCGGCTCTGGGCCACGGGTGTGCTGCCATCCGTGGGGCACGGAGCCACGGTCAGCGGCATCAGCGACACGGAGCTGCAGCAGATGAGGACCATGGCTGGCGTCTTCTGTGGCTACAAGGGGTCGGGCTCCCTGACGCTGTACCTGGCCGCGCAGCAGTGGAGCTTCGACCCCATATTCCACGCTACCTTCAGCATCGTGGGGCAGTACGCGGCGTGGGTGTGGGATGGGCGTGTGACGCTCTCCCGACTGCAGCGGGCCTGGATGGGCTTGCGTGACTCCTGGGAAGCCCGCCACACTCACGTCACGTGGGCCAGTGCGCAGGGCCCGCTGTCGGCCTTGTGGTTGTCCCTCAGGAGAGTCAACTGGAACATGGCAAGTTCTACAATCTTGGTTGACGATGAGGGCCTGCATATCAGTTTGCTGCAGTATTGTCCCAGTGAGGTGCTGTTTTTCCTGCGTCGCAGCCTCGACCGTTGGCAGAGCCATCGTATCCTCGACCAGCTGCCTGAGGCGCCCCCAGCCGATGGTGACGGCAGGCGGCAGCAGCATGTGTGGCTTCGTGCGCTTCGACTGGGACACGCCTCCTTGGCGCCTGGCCACAGAGGGGCTCTGGCCAAGCTGCAGTCCAACGGGTTCTGGTCGCCGCAGCGCCGCATGCAGGCTGGCTACGGCGGCGACGGTTCGTGCGAGTTCTGCGGGGAGGCCTGCTGCGACCTCGAGCATGAGATCTTCGGCTGCAAGGTATTGCATCAGCAGCAGGAGGACGAGGAGACGGAGCCGTACCCCGAGGAGGTGGCCAAGAGGAGGAAGGACATCCTGGAGGCAGCCCCGTGGCGCGACGGGGGCCAGGTGCAGGACTTCTCGGCCATCGACGTGCTCTACGCGCTGCCCCTGAGGCCTGTTTTCAGGCCGCTGCCTGCACGTGCTCAGGCTGAGCGCGAGTGGGGGGCGATCGACATGCCGTGGCCGTCGAAGTTGTACGGGGACGGGTCCTGTCTTGAAAGTGATTTCCCTGAGGAACGGCGCTGTGGCTGGGCCGTCGTGGCATTGACCCGAGACCTGTGGCCATACAAAGCTTTGTTCGGGAGCCTGGGGGGCCCTATCCAGACGGTGCCCAGGGCCGAGCGCGTTGCTGGTCTCAAGGCCCTGCAGAGGGCCCAGAGGCCAGCCACGTACGTGACTGATCATTTACAGCTGCAGGTCGAGGGAATGGCCTGGGAGGGTCGTCATGCTTCTGCCAGAGCGCCTCACGCGTCCATCTGGCGGAGCATCCACGAGCTGTATAGAGGCGACCCTGTCAGGCCCGTGTTTGTTTGGACGAAGGCCCATCGGACCGTCATCGAGGGGTTTGATGCCTGCCTGGCTTCCCAGGAGCCCCTGGAGCATTTTTTCGGTAATATGTGGGCTGATGTTTTCGCCCGCGTGGCTGCGGCAGATTTCCTTGGATCCACCTCCGTGGTCAAGGCTCACAAATTTTCTCTGCTTCGGGCCCAGGACACGATGCGTTGTCTGGCCTGGGCTGCCGAGCGCGTGGCCCGCCTCTCCACCCCGATACTCCGTGCGCCTCCGAAGGCTGTCTTTCGGCCCCGCCGTCCGCGGCGGCCGACCGATCACGACTTTGTGGTCTTCGCTGGGGGAGCGATTCGATGTCGAGCCTGCTGGAGGCTTGCAGCGACGGCTTCGTCGTTGAAGTCTCTGGCCTCCCGTGCATGCGACCCCCAGGAGGTCGGGCCAGGACACCAGGTCCAGGCCTTGGATCGAGTTTTGATCTGTGTAAAGTGCGGGGCGCACGCTGTGCGCCCCAATCGGCTGTCGGTCGGCCTGTCTCGAGCGTGCAAGAGGGCTGGGACGGGGTCGGCGGGAGCTGGGAGTGGGGGGGACGGAGCTATCGCGTCGATGCTCGAGCAGGCTCGAAGGGGCCTGCATCCCAAGACGGGCGAGCCCCTCGAGCCGCTCGTCTTCTCGGAGCTCGGGGAGCCTGCGATGCCGCAGCAGGCGCCCGAGCCCGAGGCACCTGCATAGTGGGCGGAAGTACAGGCGTGGGTTTGTCTTCCCAACGGGGGGCGCGGTGCGAGTGGGGACTGCCCGGCGTTGCGCCGTTAGTGACCCTCGCACCGTTGCTCCCCGGCCCCGCGCACGGCGCGGAGAGTGCCCCTTGTTGGATGAGGGTCTCTCTCTCGTCCCTTTTCCTTTTCGAGGCGTGTTCGTGATTCACCTGCACGCTCTCGGCACTGTCCTCACTGTCCTCCTCCTCCTCCCTCGTCCTTTCCCTCGTCCCTCCCCCCCGCCGTTCCTCTCGTCCCTCGACCCCCCCCCCCCCGTCGTGCCCTGCACAGGCCACCATCTGAACAGGTGCAAGCCCTGCGCGTTTGCCAACACCAAGGGCTGCAAGGACACGGGGCCGCCGCGGCCTTCGGCAGCCCTCGGCCCGCGGCCCTTTCGGGGGGGCGCGCTCTCCGGGGGAGCGGCCGTGAGCCAGGAGGAGGAGGAGGAGGAGGAGGAGGAGGAGGATCTACACGCGACAGGCTCGTTCCTTACATTGGTCTAACGTAAAAAGGAGGAGGGGGAGGAGGAGGAGGAGGAGGAGGAGGAGGAGGAGGAGGATCTAAAGGCGACGGGTTCGTTCCTTACGTTGGTCTAACGTAAAAAGGAGGAGGGGGAGGAGGAGGAGGAGGAGGAGGAGGAGGAGGAGGAGGAGGAGGAGGAGGATCTAAAGGCGACGGGCTCGTTCCCTACGTTGGTCTAACGTAAAAGGAGGAGGAGGAGGAGGAGGAGGAGGAGCCAAGTGTTTGGGGGTTCTGGTTCGCCCTTCTCGGGGCTCTGGGAGGCCTCTCTTCGATGTCTCCTGGTCGGGCCAGAGCGCGCCCCAGGACAGGGCCAGGGGGCCGAGGTTCAAGGGGCACGCCTGGCCTCCTCACGTTGCGAGCAGTATCGCGGCGGAGCGTTTCTGGCCATCTTCGGCCTGTGAGGGGCCCTTGCGGGGCCCTGGGGCCGTCTGGAGACACCTCGGGATGAATGAGATAGCTTGCCCTTGATGAGGATGTCCAGGCTTCTGGGGACTGTTTTGGAGGAGGGAAGGGGGGGAGAGCGGGGGGGGTGAGGGGAGCAGGGATGAGTAGGGGAAGGGGATGAGGACTGCGGAGAAGGAGGAGGGGAAGAGTGGAGGAGAGGGTAGGATGAGGATGAGTGAGGATTGGCAGGAGCACAGGGAGGAGCAGATCATTGGACGATTCGGACTACTACCACGATAGAGGAGAAGGAGATGGAGGAATAACAGGATAAGAAACAGGAGGAGCGCCAAGGGGATGATCAGGAATGATGATGAGAGTGTGTATGAGGATGCGGATGTGGAAGACGGCGGATGAGGAGGAGAAGAAGGAGGATGGGCAGCAGCAGGATGAGCAGCATGACGAGGAGCAGTGGCAATGAGTCGGAGCAGCGATGAGGTCGATGAGAACGAAGGGGGGAGGCCCTGGGAGCAATGAAATGGACAGGAGGAACAGGAGGATAAGAAGGGGATCAGGAGAAAGGGCAAGGATGAGGAGGGTTTGGTGGTGTTGGTGCTGCAACTGCCCCCACTCCTCCCAATCCTCCCTCTCCTCCCTCCCTTTCCCTCCTGCCGCGCACATTCGCGTTTTCTTATTTAATGCAAGAAGCCTATCACATTTACACGAATGGAGGGGGGCTGGTTATCAACGTGCGCGTTTCGCTTCAGTGCCGAGCACACTCGTCTTGAAAGCTTCAGCAGGTACACGAATGGAGGGGGGTCGCTTTCAACATGTGGTTATCGCTTCAGCGCCGCGCACTTTCGCTTTGCTTCGTCCAAGAGCTACACGGATGGAGCGCGGTCCCTTTTTCTAAATGTGGTTCTCGCCGTAGTGTTGAGATTCGTTACTTCAGAGGCTTCCATCATATACAGCGATGGAATGCGATTTCGTTTCGAGATGTCCTGAGTTCTTTAGCGCAACAATATTGCAGTGAGAATTGCAAGTGTGCCACTGGCACACAAGAAATAATGTAAGCGTGCCATTCCAAAGCGAAATTCTCGTTTGCGATTGCCTTTACCTCTGTGACCCGACGTTTGAACTGGATAACGCTTGGACGGATTGAGGACGGCTATGTTTAACGAAGCGGGGCTCTCGTTGGATTCATGTTTTGGTGTTATGGTCCAGCCTTGTTGCCGCCCTGACATACAGAAGCGTGGATGACAGATCTTTTTCGACACGGATTTACCCATCTTGCAGGACCGTGCGGACTTGGGGCGGGTGGGCGTATGGCAGCATCGTTGATGCATCTTGAGTACCGCTACTCCCCGGACCTTTCCTGGGGTGCGTCCTGCCCAGGATTTCGAGGCGAATCCTGCGGTGGCGACGGCAGAGGCCCAGGAGGCCCAGAAAGGGGAAAACGAGGGGAGGGTAAAGGTATGAGTACCTCTTCCTCCTCTGAGTCCTCCCCCTCCCCATGAAGGACGGGCCCGACTGCGCGTTCTGCCACCTGTGCGAGCCCGGCGAGAAGAAGCGGCGGAAGAAGGCGCTCTCCGCGGACGTCGTCGCCGCCGCGGATGGCGTCGCTGACGCCGCCGTCAGCGGCTTCGTTCGTCTGCGGCTTCGTCATGGTCGTCTTTTTTTGTTCCCTCGTCGTCGTCGTCGTCGTCGTCTTCTTCGTCGTTGTCGTTTGTCGCCTCCGTCGCCCTCCCCATGGCCAATGTCTGCCTCCCCCTCCCCCCTTTCTCTCTTCCCCCTCCCCCCTTTCTCTCTCCCCCTCCTCTTCCCCCATTAGCCCGACGGGTGCCTTGCTGCTGAGAGCTGAGGCTAGACGTCAGCCCACATCCGAGTGAAAATAGAAAGTCTTCCCCCCCTCAGCCTCCCGCCCTCCCTTCCCCCCGTGCTTCCCGCCGCCCGTCATTCTGGTCGGGGCCTCCTGGCCACGCCGAGCAAAGTCACGATGCCGAAACAGGGGCCGCTTCGAGCTCACGCCGCGGAGCCGATTCGTGGCCGAGGCTCGCCGCGGCAGGGGCGGCCCCTTCCTTGCTGCGGCTCTCGCTCTCGCTTTGGCAGCGCGGCGGCACCCGCTTGGAGACCAGGGGGGCCGGCCTCGGCACCCCACCCGGGGGGGAGGGCTGGCCGCCCTCCCTCCCAGGGTATAAGATCCAGGAATCCCTCCTCCCTCCTCCCTCCCTCCTCCTCCTCCTCCTCCTCCTCCTCTCCACCTCCCTCCTCCTCTTCCTCCTCCTCCTCCTCCTCCTCCTCCTCCCCTCCCCCTCCCCCTCCCCTCCTCCTCCCCCTCCCCCTCCTCCTCCCCCTCCTCCTCCTCCTCCTCCTCCTCCTCCTCCTCCTCCTCCTCCTCTCCTCCTCCTCCTCCTCCTCTCCTCCCCCTCCTCCTGCTCCTGCTCCTTCCTCCTCCTCCTCCCTCCTCCTCCTCCTCCTCCTCCTCCTCCTGATCCTCCTCCTCCTCCTCCTCCTCTCCTCCTCCTCCTCCTCCTCCTCCTCCTCCTCCTCCTCCTCCTCCTCCTCCTCCTCCTCCTTCCCCCCCCCGTGGACATGATATCGAGCTTCCCTTCCCCCCCCCCGCGGGATGGATACGCCCGTGAGCCTCGCGAAGGCCTCGCGAATGGGATCGCCGTCGTCGTTGTCGTCGTCGTTGTCGTCGTCGGCGTCGGGGTCGGCGTCGGCGTCGGCGTTTGGCGTTTGCGTCGGCGTCGGCGTCGGGGTCCGCCACCCCCCCATCCCAATTGGGCGCTGGGCAGGGGGTGGGTCTGGAACCCTGGCCTGTGAGCCGTCGACCTTTGATCACGTGCATATAAATAAACACATAGAGTCACTTTGGGTTAAGCGCTTGCAGACTCATGGGCCCTCGGGGCGCGTGTGCGCTCCGCTCGCTTGTTATGCCTCATGTCGGACGTCTTGACTGGACTGTTGCACAACTTGCCGAAGGACGCCAGTGCCGTTTCCGCATGAACTCACATGTCGATCGAGTGGTCGTGCATTTTATTTTGCTGAAGAACGGTAACCAGTTTGAACGGAACGGACCTCTCATTGCGATCCTGAAGGTTCTCAAAGCCATTTGCAAAGAAGCAGTCGTTGTCGACCCTGGCCACCTCAGCTCCACTGGGGAGTCCCACATTTCTTTCTCATTTCAACCGTTGCCACCAGTTGATTCTACGCCCGATGCGGTTACAGTGGAAGACGTACCAATTGCTCAGTCTGGTGCGGTGCCACCTCCTGCTTCTGCTGACCTTGGTGACGAGATCGGTGACCTACGACAGGAGATGCAAGAGCTGCGGACGAGACTGCAAGGCCAAGTGCGGACTACCGTGGCGAGCGAGCGAACCACGCGAGCATGCCTGTCGGCTGCTCGGCCCTGTGCAGGGCATGGGCGTACAATTCGACTACCAGCCAGACAACAGATATGAAACGTGAGCAGAATGTGGAATTGGGAATTCGGAAAAATGCAACAGACGGGGGGGGAAGCGGGGGAAGGAGGGGGAGAACGGGGGGGGAGGAGGAGGGAGGGGCATCACACTTTCATCATGCAGAACCTGATGCACTGTTCCTCCCTGCCCGGCGTCTGCAGCGCCTGTTCCAGAGAATCTGCCCCTACTTGCGTGTAGAAGTGTCCGAAGTCGTCCATCCATTGCAACGGTGGTCTGCCTCGTGCTCGCTTGTGGGCAGACTGCAGATGTCGAAGAACGGGCGCCCATTTCTCAACCCCTCCACGGAAGAGCCAGCGAGCCAACCGCCACTTCAAAGAGAACATCCTTTCCGACGCGTCTGGGGAGGGCGCCGTGGACAGCATGTTCGACACGCGCGTCTGCATCCTCCGCATCGTGTCCTGCCAGCTCTCGCCCTCCGATCTCCTCCAGCCAGCCAAATTTCGCAGCATCTTTGTCCGCGCTCCCCGGAGCATGGCGTGGTGCTGCGGTTTCAGCGCCAGGCTGGACAACACCTACAACAAGACTGGCAAGACCGTGGAGTTGATTAGCTTGATGCGATGACCGGCACCGACATGCTGGCTCATCAGAATTTGGCATTTTCTCTGAAATTGGTGCCATGCCGCTGATATGCTCCTCTTAATGGCAATTGTTGCCCTGTTTTTTGACAGGCTGAGGGCTCTCCCAAAATAGGCGCGATATTCGCCCAGGGACAGCACGTGAAAGCAGCGGCCTGCAATCCATTCGATTTAGCAAGTGCCGGGTGGAGCACCAACGCTTCTGGAGGATAAGATCTAATCTTGGTTCTCGCGGCGTTCAGTTGCAGCCCCACGGCCTGGAATTCTTCAGTTAAGATTGAGAGCGTGATTTTGGCGTCCTCCAGCGACCGGGCATAAAGCAACACATCGTCTGCGAATCGGATGTTCGTGAGGCGTTCTGTCTGTCCTGGGAATTCCCATCCTTGCGTTGCGAGGCGACCCTTAAGCGAAAATCATCAAGTTGTGGTTCGCAACATTGAGGTTGTGGTTCGGACGTTCTCTGTGCTGTGGGTTTCGGCGCATGATATGCACCTCTTGCTGCAGGCCCTTGCTTCGACCAAATTATTCACAGACGCTTCCCCGTGTGCTCCTCATGACGTCATCCTCCCCCCACTCCTTCTCGTCCCCTCCCCTTCCTCCTCCTGTTCCTCCTCCTCCTCCTCTTCCTTCTCCAGCCTCCTCGGCCCTCTTCCTCCTCCTCCTCGTTATCCCCCTCCTCTTCCTCCTCCCCTCGTCGTCGTTTTCTCGGTGTCGTCCTCGTCGTCTTCGTCGTCGTCGTTCGTCTGTCGCCAGTCGTCTGTCGCCAGAGGAAGGGGGGAGGGCATGAGGTGGAAAGGGAGGAGGAACAGGCGGAAGAGGAGCAGGAGGAGATGAGGGGAATTGGAGGAGGAGGAGGAGGAGGAGGAGGAAGAGGAGGAGGAGGAAAAGGAGGAGGAGGAGGAGGAGGAGCCCGAGGAGCCGGAGGAGAAGGGGGAGCAGGAGAAGATGGGAGGAACCGCAGGAGGAGAGGAGGAGGAGGAGGAGGAGGAGGAGGAGGAGGGGAGGAGGAGGAGGAGGAGAGGAGGAGGATGGAGAGGAGGAGGAGGAGGAGGAGGAGGAGGAGGAGGAGAGGAGGAGGGAGAGGAGGAGGAGGGGAGGGGGGGGGGGGGAGGGGCAGCAGGACGACGAAGAGGCGAAGGAGGAGGAGGTGGTGTAGGAGGGGGAAGGGGGGCGGCGAAATGGAAGGGGGAGGAACTGGGAGGAAGGAGGAGCCCCCCGCGGCTGGCGACGGCTGCCGCGGCTGCCGCGGCTGCCCGGCAGCGCGCTGCAGGCGCCTCCGGAGGGGGGGTCGGCCCAAGGGGAGCAGCAGCAGGAAGGTGAAGGAGGACACGGAGTAGGGAGACGCGGGGGGAGAGAAGCAGCTGCTGTAGCAAGGCTGCAGGGTCTCGTCGTCCTCCTCCTCCTCCTCCTCCTCCTCCTCCTCCTCCTTTTCCTCCTCCTCCTCTTCCTCCTCCTCCCCCTCCTTTTTCTCCAGTTCCTCCTCTCGTCCTCATTCTTCTCCTCTCCCCCTTTGTTGCTGCTGCTGCTGCTGCTGCTGCTGCTCCTCCTTCTCCCCCTCCTCCTTCTCCTCCTCCTCCTTGGTTTCTCTTCTTCGTCCTGCTCCTCCTCCTCCTCCTCCTCCTCCTCCTCCTTCTCGTCCTCCTCGTCGTCGTCGATGTCATTCAGGGTCGGGGGCACCGGCCGACAGGCCTTCACAGTGTACCCAGCCAGTCGCGCACTGGAGGAAAAAATAAAACGACCCTTTTCGTACCACTGGGCCGTTTTCTCATTATCCTCCTCTTCCCTCCCCTCCTCCTCCTCCTCCTCCTCCTCCTCCTCCTACTCCTCCGTCCTCCTCCCCTCTACCCCACGTCCTCTGTCCCCTTTCTCATGTATCCTCCTCCTCCTCGTCTTCCTCCTCCTCAGTCCCCCTCCTCCTTTCTTTCTCCTCCTCTTTTTCCCTTCTCCGAAAATGTATCATCCTCCTTATCTTCCTCCTCCCCCCACTTTTGATGATGTTGCTGCTGTTGCTGCTGCTGCTCCTCCTCCTCCTTCTCTTCCGTCCCATCCTCCTCCTCCTCCTCCTCCTCCTCCGTCCTCTTCCTCATATGTTCCCCCTCCTCCTCCCGTCCTCCTTCTCCTCGTCCTCCTCGTCGTCGTCGACGTCTTTCAAGGTCCGCGGCACCGGCCGACAGGCCTTCGGAGTAGTATACCCAGCCAGTCGCGCACGTGAGCGAACAAAAACGACCCTTTTCGTTCTAAATGGGTCGTTTTTTGTTTGCTGGGGGGAGGACCAGGACGCCGTCCGCTAGGAAAAAGGAAGCGGGTGAGGATGACGAGGAAGATATGGGAGGAATGGGGGGGAGGTAGGGCCGACCAGCGGGAAGAGGACGGAGGTGGACGAGGGACGCAATATCTGCTAGCCGCCCTCATTCAATGGCGACAAACGCAAGGCCGCCGCCCCAAACCTGCCCAGGAAACGGCGCGGGCTGGCCTGAAATCAACCGAGCAAGTTTTCGAGACACGCCACCGAGTGAAATCGTAAGCCGGGCAACGGCGAAACGTCCCGAAACGCGTCTTAGAAGCACTGTTACGTTCAGGCTTGAATGCGCCAGGGGGTGCAACGTTGAAAACCCGTCTCGGAAACTTAAGTTTTCGGGACAGGGACACTCACGCCTCCTTCCTTTTTTCTCAATCGCTCTAGCCCCCACCCGCTGACCTCGAAGCGACGAACTGCCTCACTACTGTCGGCGCGCACATCGACGCCGTCAGCCCGAAGCCGCCACCGATGATATTCTCAGGGCGCAGCATCGCAGTCACCGGCACATTTGACTGCGTCACCTGTGCTGACGCTAGCGATGCGGGCCGAGAAACTGGCGAACTCTGCGCCTGGCGGCGAGCCGCCTTCTCTGCGGGGGTTAACAAAAAAGCAACCTCGCCGCGCCTCCAAGCCGGCTTCAGCGGGCCGCTCCAAAGCGGGCCGCGGGGCACCAGAAGTTGGGCCTCGAACGTGCGGCCCGTGGCCTCGGCCACGTGCTTCGAATTGGGCGGCAGCCTGCCGCCTACTTCGATGATGCGCAAAACACGCCAGACCCACACAGGCAATCCTACAAGGCGCTGCCTGGTGCGCCCAAGCGGGCTGTTCGGTGCTGGATCCGTGAGGACGTGCACTCCCGCGATCACGGGCCTTCGCACAAATTCGTCTACAGTGCTTGGTGGGCAGCTGCGAGGAAGCGCCGCTATGGGAGTGCCCTCGCTGCGCCTGATGCCGCACGTCTGTTGCAGAGCGTGCCAGCGCTGCCGGGGGACCGGGGCGTCGCCAGTAGCCTGCAACGCCGCCGAAGCTTCGGGGGATATGGCGGCGCTCTCCCTCGCGCACTTGCGACCGCGGAGGCCCATCCGATGCATGTGTAAAGCTAGCTGGGGCGGCATCCCACCGTCGCGGGCCCGCCTCCGACGCGTAGCCCGAAGAGGAATCGAAATGAGCCCAATTCTTTTTTGCGACGGCCACGGCGTCCGCGAGCCGCGGCTCCGCAAATTGCTCGTTGCCCGACCGGGTCAACTTTTGTAATTTCTTCAGTTGCCCGTCTCCTGCTTTCGTCTTGGCCTCGGTGGTCGACTCGCCCGCTCGTTGTGGCAAACCTTTTACTACCGCTTTATACAACGACCAATTAGTTATATCCCCGATAAACGTATAAGCTGGGGAACTCATATACTGTTTGGCCCATAGTTCGACGACGATGCCATCTCGTTTCGGAACCCTCCGCAGCTCGAAATCGTGGATGCCGCCGATGTTCTCGTAGTACATCACCCCTCCCCTCGCGGTCGACTCAGCTGATTTGGTCGAGTGCCCTGGAAACAACCACTCCCAAATATCACGGATTTCCCAAAGGTTTGTGACCAATACGTCCGGTCCCATAACAGGTCTGTGCCCGCCCTGGCTCTGCCACCCTGACGAACCCGAGGACTCTGAGGACTCGCGGTGCAGCAAGCTTGCTTTGTGAGATGCCTTCATGATGTCGATCAGCTCCTCCAGATGGAAAAAGGTCTCCTTTGCCACCGCGGTCCTGTGGATGGAATGGAAGGCGTCGTACACGTCGTGCGCGTGGTCGGGCAACTCGAAGCGCAGCCGCACGACGTCGAACACGTCGACCAACGCGTAAATTGCCAAAAAGCCCAACACGCACATGCTGTGGTTCACAGAAGCGTTGTCCATCTGCACGGACAACTTGCGTGGCAGATTGCCGTGCTCCTCGTAGGCGGTGTTCACGGCGATGGCAATGCATTCGCAGACATGGTTAGACCCCGCCACCACGCACCACGGGCTCAAGATGATGTGAGACCTAGTGTCCCCGTGCACCAGGCCGTTCATCACTTTGAATTGCGGGCAATGCACGTTGTCTGCCGCCTTGACTGGGACCTCCGCGGCCGCCCCAGATAGATGCGGTAGCCAAAACTCATATCCTGAACCCCCGTCGAAAGCGAGGTAAAGTTCTGATTTCGGGTAGTCGCTGGCTGCGACAGCCCTGTCCGCCCAATAAATCCGCTTCTGGTCCAGTTGTAAGAGGTGGTGGGCCGCTGCGACCTTCTGCCATGCTCTGCGCTCGTCCTCGGAGGATACGGACATGCATTTCCAACGGAAGAAAGCACATTTGGTACAACGGCCCAGGGACACCATGCGGTGAAAGCGAAGCTTCGCAAACACTGGGAGCTGCAAGGCGCGGATGAACGTGGAGTATTTCGGGGGCTTGCTGAACAGCGGTGTGCGCCGACGTTCTGCTCGGGCTTTGACCCACAAATCCTCGACCAACATGCGGAACAGAAACTTTTTCTCGTGGAAGGGGAGCTCGACTACATCAGGGTCTGCATTCTGCAGGGGTGACGAAGCGACCAAGACCCGCACGATATGCTGGATGCCAGCGATCATCTCGTCTGTGCGGGGGCTGGCCCTGACAAAACCCGCATGGCGCCACGTGGTCTCACCCCTGCTCAATTGCCGAGAAGCCCGCCAAGGGTTAATGCCAGTAATGGCCCGCCACGCTTTCAAGCAGAGGGGGCGTCCGAACAACTGAAACTGGCGACGCGCCACCACGGGCGCGCGTCGGATCCCTGGCGATCTCGCGGTTGGCGGGCGCGCAGGGGCGCTGCCCTGGCACGACCACAGATGGTCCAACAGTTGCTGCCTCTGCTCGGCGCCAGGCATGGCGTCCCACTGTGCGCGCCACCGCTCCAGGATGCTCACCATCCTGGGGCTCCGCGTGAACGCATCGACTTGGCAAAGTGAGCAGCCCCCCCCGCGGCAGGCGTGCCGGCACAAACGCCGCGCAAGCATGCGGCGGCCGCGGTCCGCCAGTCTCCGCTGCCGCTGCGCTTGCGACGCCCGCCTCTTGGCCCCATGGCATGGGGCGGCGCTGTCGCCGGGCAGTCGGCGGAAGAACATGGCGCCGCTGGAAGCCGCCAGCGGCCCCCAACTCAACCAAAAAAACGGCGGCGGATTCGACGGGGGGGGGGCGGGGAGTTTGGGCGGAGGTGGGAATGAAAGTCAACGTGGAAACCGAAGCGGCGGATGCAACGTAAACAAGGATGATGCGGCGAGGGGGGGGGGGGGGAGAGCCAAGGGAGAAGGCGGAGAAAATATTACAGGGGCGCCGAAGTGATAAAACGACCCATTTCGTGCAAAATGGGTAGTTTTTTTTTCGGGGGGGGCGTCGCTGCTGGACGCTGCCGCCGCGCGTCTGGCGCAATTTGCGATCCCCGTCCTCGCGAGAGGGGCGAGCGGGCAACGGGGGCCTCGGAGGCTAGACGTGGCGGCCCCAGATGAAACGGCAAAAGGATGGGACATGGGACAGGTGGACATGGGGTTCCGGGCACGACGGATGGGGGGAGAAACGGAATCGCGAAGTGGATCGGAAGAGGTTTGGGGTTAAGTAGCGGCATGATGACCAAAAGTGCCCGGGGGGGGGAAACGGGAAGAATGCAACCATAGGCGCTTCAGGAAAAGAGGAGCAGGGGAAGGCGGGTGGTCTGGGGCAGGGGGGGGCACAGGGGGCAGATGGGCGGGCAGGCGGGCAATCTTGAAAAGGACGCGGACAAAGGGGGATCGCGGGCAGCGCGGGGAGGACAAGGAGAAGGAGGGAGATGGTGGTCAGGCGGGGGAAGGTGGATTCAGAGGAGGACCAAGGCCTTCAAGCTGCGTGCTACATCGCGCTCGCGCCGAAGGCGCCGCACCGAGAACCGATCGGCCATGCGAACCACTCCCTCAAACAAAGAAGCACACATAGCACGCCGAATCGCCCGTGCGCCGGCAAAACAAGATATTTGCATCGCAAAAACAAAGGCCGAAAAACGACCCATTTAGTTCAGAATGGGTTGTTTTCTTAGTCTAAACGGCCCGCTTCTCTTCGCAACCACGGGCCAATCGTTCTTTCTCCTCGCTGCGCCCCTCGCCGCTTTTTCCTTCGCAGCCCCTCGGCCGACCAATAAAAACCATGCCGCGCCAGTCAGCGACGGCCGACGCATCTCGCGATCACTGGGCGCGAACGCTCTATCGCACCCTCGGCGACGGGGGCCGCCCATCGCGGCCGACGCAAACCTGCCGAGCACCTCGCGGGGCCGCGGCCGATGCCTTCGAGGCCACCTTCTGCTTCTTCTTTTTCTTGCCCGACTTGTCGCCGCTGGGCGCGGGGCGCTTGCCAGCGGCCTTGCTCTCCATCTCGGTGAGCTTCTTCAGCTGTGCGGATATGTCGTCCTCATCCTCCTCGTCGCCGCAGCCGTCGCCAGCGTCCTCCTCGGCGTCGTCAGCCTCCTCCTCCTCGTCAATGGCGTTCTCGCCCGCCGCTGACTTCTCTGCGCTCGTGGATGCCGCGGGGCCCTTGATCTTCGCGGGGCCCGTGGTAGTCTTCTCCTCCTCCCCGACGTGCCTCGCGATGATGGCGCCAGTGAGGGGAATGAAAGTGTATGTTTTCAATGGCGGCAAGTTCAGCTCGCCGGGAGGCTCCAACTTGTAGCCCGCGCTCTTGCTGACGAAGTTGCTGATGAACGGCGCCATCATGCGAATCGCGGCCGCCGAGAGCATGCCCTTGAGAGGCTCCATCGGGTCGGGAGATACGTATGCTCCATAATCCACGTTGAGCTCTCGCTCCTCGGCCAGCGGCGGCGTCTGCAGCATTTTGATCTCGTTCTCGTCGTTCGCAATGACCAAGACGTGCTTGTACCCGCACACGATCGCCGCCACGATGGCCTCAGGTGCCCCACCCGTCACGATCACCATGACCTCGTTCTCCGATAATGGAATCGGGCTGCAATTCAGGGCGGACCGCAGCGCCTCGATGTACACGGTGGGGTGGACCTGACCTTTGCGGTGCGCCCGCGGCTGGGCGCGGGCGCCCAGCGCGACTTTGAAGACGTCGGCCATGGGCATGAACTCCGCCTCGCTGGTGATGCGGGACGTGTGCTGGAACATGATGTTCTCGGCCTGCGATGCCTTGTCGCCGAAAATGACGCGCAACTGCTCCTCGTTCATCAAGTGCGGGTCGCAGGCGTCCAAGAATTCCTCATCGAGCTGGCTCTTCTCCTTGCTCGACGTGCCCTCGGCCCCAGACGACTCGCCGTCGCCCTCCTCCTCGCCAGAGTCCGCGCCCTCGTCGCCCACCTGCGGGCCCGTGCCCTTCTTGGCGAGTCTCCGGCCGATGGTGCGCATTTGGAAGTCGACCCCCGAACGCTCAATGGTCTCGTCCGCGGGCCCGCCGCTGCGGGCGGCATTTGATTTCAAATGTCTGATGAAACCTGGCGGCACGTGGACAGGCACGCAGATCGAGCGCAAATGGCGGTGCGTATCTGCAAGGTTCTCGTGCAGCTTGTGGATGCCGCTCTGGTGGCACGGTCGGACGAGGACGTGGCCTATGATGGGCGTGGCCGGCAAAATCTTGATGGTATCAGACCAATCTTTGCAGTCCGCCTCGCCCGGCGCCCTGCAGATCGAGCGGCTCTTCGGGCCCGACACCAGCTTCGCCGACATCGCGAGATCCACGACAACGGCGCGGGCAACGTAACCAGGACTGTGGCTCTCCATCCAATTCTTCGCCTCGGAGCCAGTGCGCACGATCACCACCCGGTTGCGCATGATCTCGGCCGCCTGCTGCGCGATGAGGCGCCTCGACGAAGCGCTGCGGTCTTGAACCGCCTGCTGGGGGGCAATCTGGGGCGCCAGCCCGACCGGGGAGTGGGGGTGCGCTCGGGGGCCTTGTTGATCTTTCTAGGGCGTCTGAATATTTAACCGAACTTTGGGTCAATGGGGCGGGCCCCAGATTCCCCGCCAAGCCTGCTTGTTCAAGTCGGCGACAAGTTTCTTCTTCTCCGCCAGGTCCAAGCCAGCTGCGAGCTCGTCGGTGACGTCCCCAGTCCTCTCGGTTGCCTTCTTGCAGCCCTCATCCAGGGTTTCGCCGGCTGCCTGGTCTGGCGGCGGCGGCGGCGGCTGCTCCGCCACGCGCATCGCCTTCGCCGCAGCGACGGCCTTGATCGCGCGCTGCAGCGGCGAGAAGATCGACGACAGGAGCTTTACCATCTCGGAGTGACGCGCGTCGAAATGGCCTGGGATCTGCGCCGAGACCTGGACTAGATCGGCGTCGTGTTCTCCAACCCACAGCTGCTTGTGCAAGGCGGTGGCCTGGTCCGGCCACGCGCGCGAGTCGGGGCCGTACTCCGAGTTCAAGACGCTCTCGACGAACGGGAGCAGACGGGCGAACGCCACCCAGGCTGGCGCGCTGCTGAAGGCGTCCATGGACTTGTGCTTGGCGCGGAACTCGAAAACGCGGCGGGCGGCATACTCCGCCATGCGGACCTGCAATAGAGCCCCTGCCTCGCCGTCGCGGTACGGGGGGACGGCGTCTTTCTCCTTTGTCGACGCGAACGCCGCGGCCGTCAGGATCTCGGGTGACATGAGGATGGCGCGGGTGATCGGGAATGGCTTGTGGGCCAAGCCTTGCTTGCCCAATTCCGACCAAATATCCACCGTCATGATCTCCAGCGCCTTCGGCGAGAAACCCTTCAGGAAGCGCACGCGGAGCGATACCTCTTGGAAGCTCCTCATCTGCGCGTGGGCCGCTGCCACCTTATTCTCGCCCAACCAGCGCGACGTGACCTCCTTCTTCGTGACTGCTGCAATCTTGTTGGCGCGCGTGGGTGGTTTCTGGCCAAGGAGGCCAGCAAGCCACCGCGGTGCCGGTTTACGAGGGTCGCCCAGGACAGCGGAGAATTTGAATACGTCAATGGCCTTCGTCGGGTCCAAAGGCTTTGCCGTCCGCATATTCTCGCACCATTGCTGGACCACCATGATGTTTTCGAGCTCGCAGTGCCGCTTGTACTCTTCTTTGGCGATGTTCTCGTTGGCGTTCAGGACCTCGACGTCTTCCCCCTCGGCGCCGAAGAAGAGCATCACGCGGACGCTCTTGAAGGCAGCCTCCACGCGGGCGCCCATCGAGCCGTGCAGGAATTGCATCACGCCAAGCGCGAACAATCCGAACAGCGAGCTCTGGTTGCTCAGGGTGAGGTGCTGCGCCCCGTACGGCGTGTCGGGCTGCAGTCCGCCCGCGCGCCTCTCTATGCTGGGGCCCCAGTTCTCGACGTTCTTGGTGATCCAATCCTTCACGTACCCGAGGTTGAACACCTTCCCTGGCATGCACCACTTCGCCTGGAGCGCGCTGATCACTGTAGCCATCGTGGGGTCCTGTAGGGGCGCGTTCGCCGAAACAGCTTGCAAAAACTTCTTGTGCGCCTCCGCGATCACGTCTGGCTTGTAAGCCCGAACGCCGTCAACCGAGACTGCGCAAGGCTCACCCATGTTGATGTTATCGTATTGGAGTTTCAGGTGGATCGCCAACCCCATTTTGAGTCGATGCTCCTCCGTCGGATCTAATGTGAAGAAGTCCTCGAATGCCCACCCGGGCTTAGAACCCAACTGCGGAAGGTTCGCCGCCATGGCTGCCTTGGCTTGATCGTTGAAGAAACTTCGAAGAGCCATCTTCTTAAGCCAGCGCCCATGATTAATAGAATGGTTGGAAGGATGGAAGCGAGGGCGGGCTGGGCGGAGGAGCGCTGGGCACCAAACGGGCACAGGGGGAAAACGACCCATTTCGAATGAAATGGGTCGTTTTTTTTTTTCGTTTGGGCTCAAACAAATGCCAATCCCTACTCAAGATCAAGAAGCAACAGCCGACCAACTGTGACTCACTTTTGCCCCGCTCCTGAGAGGATGGCCCCCCCCCCACGCTGCTGCGCTGCCCCCCTGCGCCAAACGTTGAAAAGAGAGAAGCTGCCTAGTCCAACAAAACAAGGGGGGGCTCGCGGGGGCCGACGCCGCTGACCCCTGTCATCTGTGCGCAGGGCAGTCGACGCGAGCAAATCCCACCGACCTTTGCGCGAGGTAGTTGAGGCAGCTCGCTCTTCCGAACCCCTACTCCCAGTCTGTGAGGAATTCGCCCGCCCCCACCGCTCCCACCCCCCCCGTCCTTGCATCTGGAAGGGCCCCCCGCCCCCTGGGTCTGGGCGGGGCGCCCCGCGATGGGCTCGAGCGCCCAAGTTGGCCCGACGCGGGCCCAATGAGGCCTCGAGTCGCCAGTATGGTTCGACGGATCGCCTGAGACAAACCAAGCCAGGATTGTTTAATATACCTTCCAATATTTTTTCCAGAAGCACCCGGAACGCTGAGAGGCGGGTTCCAGCGGCCGCGGAGATCCCCAAGAAGGGCGCCAAACGGCCCAAGTTGTTCGAACACCTTGCGCATTGCGCGCGTAACGGTGATTCGCCTCCTCGCATTTTCGCTTCAGAGTACCTCTCGAGACCCCAAGGCAGCTCCAATGCGGCCCAACAGGGTCCAAAGAGTGGCCAAGGAGGGTCACGATGCGGCCTCAAGAGCACCAAGGGCGCCCCGAGAGCGCTGGCCGTGAAAGGGCAAAAGGCCCCGCGATGGCTCCGAAAGGCCCCCGAGAGGCAGCAATCGAGAAAGATATGCAAAAGATCTGCGAAGGCTTCCACGGCTGAAGTGGGGGGAGTGGAATAAGCAGGAGCGGGGGGGGCTTGGCACGCGCGCGCCCAATCCCCGTGCAAATGCGCCGCGCCGTTTTGCCGTTTCGTTTAAGATGGGTTTCCGACGCCCCCGAGCGGCGCCGCAATGGCTCGGCGGGGCCACGGGGGGCGCCCAGGGATCCTCAGACTTCACAGCGGTCCAACGGCGCGTTCCAACTCGTCACTCGTTGACGCCGAAGGGGCGAGGCCAATTGCAAAGGGCCCCCCATGATGTCCGATGGCCCCCACGATGGCACCAACAAGGCCCCGACTAGTCTACTGTGGCCCAAATCCAGTTTCAAGTTCCCTGGCATGTCCCCAAAGTGCTCAAATGCATCAACGATGAAATTAAACGACCCTTCAAGGAGGAGGCCCAGGGCTTGGCCTGACTGTGGCGCGCGAAAGTCAGCGTTTGCGCTCAATCTACACATGCTGACATGTATGTCGGCCAGGTGCCCTAGGATGGCAACCGCGCGAAAGGCAGGGCGGTCTGGTCCTGTTTGCAGCGGCCCAAGCGCCGCTGTCGGCCGCCGCCGCCGGCGAAGCCTGCGAAACAGGGCGGGGGGCGAGCAACGACAAAAAAGAAACGGCGGGGCGAATTCGCTGGCACTGAACCTTATTCTCCCATCCCCTCTATTCCTGTCCACTCCCGCCTCCACTTTGCTGCGCCATTGGCCTCCCCCGTTCAGCCGTTGCGCAATTCCCGCAGCCCCGCAACGCACTGCCTGGGCATTCCTTGCCGCGCCCTGCCATGCCACCCCCGCGTTTCTCCTCCGTCGCCCTGCCCCTTCCCCTTTCGCCCCTCCCTTCCCTCCTCCATCGCCCCCTCCTGCTCTCTACCCGCCCAAGCGCCCCCCCCCTCCCGCACATTTTCGATTTGCGCCACCGCCCGAGAGCCACCTTGCACCCTCCGCTCGACGGACGTACGCCGACGAGCGCGCAAGGCCGCGGTGCCTGTCGTGGGCGCGCTCACGGCGGCCGCGGTCAGCAAGGCGTCAGCTGGCTGACCACGGCCACCATGAGCGCGCCCACGACAGGCACCGACATGGCCATACCGGCCATGGAGTACAGCTCATTGCTGCTCCAGCGGCCATCCAGCGGCAACGCCCCAGCATGCCCCTGGAGAGCCATGCATTGCGCCGGGGATAGGACAGCGCCGAATGCAGGGGCGAATAGACCACCGCAGGTGTGAGACAACGTCGGCACCAACCCGTCCCCCCTCAGCTGATGCCGCCCGGCGGACTGCGATGCGTTCAGGATCGCGTTCGGCTTCATCAGGTTCAGCGACTCTGACAATACCGTCAACAGCTTGCGTCTGCTAGGAGATCTCGACACCTCGGGGGATACCAAGATCTTCTTGGAAGCGGCGAGACGCCAATAATGTGGCACCTGCTTCAATTTCGGATTGCTGGTCAGCTTGCGCCACATCTTCAGATACTTCATCCTGGCTGTCTTGGTCTTGGCGAACAGGATCTCGCATCGCCGGCGCCACGAGCATTTTGGGCGAGGCTTCCGCCCTGTGTCCCCGCCCCTCTTGCACGATAAGCAACGGCATGGGTGGATGCTGCAAGTGCTGTGGAAACTGTAGCGCGTGGGGCCCATCTCCTTGCAACCCTCGCATGGACCCGACGGGCACGTGCTCGCCTCGGCCTGCATCGGCAACCCGATGTCGGCCAACCACTGATGCCACGGCCCTGGCTCAGGGCATTCAGAACTTTTCATAAGACGCTGGATACGGTCCAAAGCTTCTGCAGTTTCCGGATGGCGGGTCTGGCCCTTGCGCAACAGAACGATGTACAAGCGCGCCCGATTCTGCGGCAAGCCGTAGTCCTGGCTGTTGAGGATGAATTCCCGCCGCTCGTAGCCCTTGAGGCTCGCCAGGGCTGCACGGAACTGGGCTTTGTTGTCGGGGCCGCGGATCTCTTCAACGTTTTCCAGAATAGCTGCCCTCGGGCGGGTTGCAGCGATCGTCTTCAAGACTCCGAAGAATGTCCTTGCCGCTTCCGATTGGAAGCCTTGCCTCTCCCCGAGCTTGGAGAAGGGTGAACACATGAAGCCTGCAACATACAAGTCCAAAGCCTTGGCAGCCGACGACGAGCCGAGCCGAGCCACCATGCGACCATTTTCGAAGACGCGCTGCGTGACATCTGCAAGTACAGGAGCGCCTGGCACTACGGCTTCCAACATCCGGCGGCAGGCGGGGTTCAATTCGCAAGTGAAGAGGTGCGTGGTCCTGGACTGACAGGCCTGCGCCCAGGCCACTTCCGCGGTCCCGCACCCCGAGCAGTCCGACGCCATCACCAAGCCACGGGACCACCCATCAAGAGGGTTCCCCACCGCCTCCTGCGCGCATGATACCCACGGTGATCCTTTGGAACTCATGGCAAATGCTGAGTTACCACGGATTGAGCCCAAGCGGCTTCGGCGACACCTTTTCTTCCTTATCTTCTTGTCCTTCCCTTGCCCCGAGACCAGCCCCGCAGTGGAAGGGCGCCTTGTGCTCTCATCTTTGTCTTGGGGCCTTTCCTGTTGGGGGGCCGCAGGGTGGGCTGATCAACCCGCGTGGCAACGAAATGGCAATGAAGCGCAGGGTTCGCTCTTTTTTATTATTTTTTTTTTTATTCCTTGCTTTTATTTTGTCTTTTTTTTTTTTTTTTTTTATTTTTTTTTTTTTTTTTTCTTTTTTTTTTTTTTGTTTTTTTTTTTTTTTTTTTTTTTTTTTTTTTTTTTTTTTTTTCTTGTGATTTTTTTTTTTTTTTGTTTCTCCAGCCAGAAAAACGCGATTCCATAGAGAAACAGCAAAATAAAGACCATTTGGTTACCAAATTGCGGTCGTTTTTTCTCTGAAGGTGAATCGCGCGCGGGCTCGCGGGGTAGTCGCCGCGGAAGCACCCCTTCAGCGCCATGTCCTGCTCGGATCTCCGAGCAGAGCACGCGAAGGGGATCGCCCCTTGCCGCGGACCCCCGCTGGCCATCGAAACCGCGCAACAGTTGGCCAGGGCTGGCGGCCAGCGCCAAACCCCCATGTCAAGTCCTGCTCGCATGTCCAAGCAGAGGGCGCGAATGGGATCGGCCCCTGCCGCTGCCGCAAACCACCGCTTGTCATCGAATGCGCGCGACCCCCCTGTCATGTGCTGCTCGCATATCCGAGCAGAGCATGCGAAGGGGATCGGCCCCTGCCGCAGACCACCGCTCGCCATCGAAGGCGCGCAAGCGCGCTTGTTTCTCCGGCCGGCGGCCAGGGCCGACCCCCTTGTCATGTCCTGCTCGGACATCCGAACAGAGCATGTGAAGGGGGTCGGCCCCTGCCGCGGGCCCCCTCGCAATCGGAAGCGCAAGAGCACTCGAGTTGGCAAGGGGTCACCCTGTCAAGTCCTGCTATGATACCTGAGCAGAGCACGCGAAAGGGATCGGCCCCTGCCGCGGACCCCCATCTCGCCATCGAAGGCGCGCAAGCGCGCGAGTTGGCTCGGGCCGGCGGCCAGGGCCGCCCCCCGCTTGCCACCGGAAACGCGCAAGCGCGCTAGTTGATTCGGGCCGGCGGCAAGAGACGAACCCCTTGTCATGTCCTGCTCGGACATCCGAGCAGAACATGACAGGGGGTCGCCCCCTGCCGCGGAAACCCACTCGCCGTCGCAAGCGCGCGAAATGGCTTGGGCTGGCGCCCACAGCCGACCCCCTTGTCATGTCCTGCTCGGACATCCGAGCAGAGCATGCGAAGGGGATAGGCTTCTGGCCCTGGACCCCCGCTCGCCCTCGACAACGCGCAAGCGCGCGAGGCGGCCAGCGGCCAGGGCCGACCCCCCTGTCATGTCCTGCTCGGACATCCGAGCAGGACATGACAGGGGGTCGCCCCCTGCCGCGGATCCCGGCTCGCCGTCGAAGGCGCGCAAGTTCACTCGGGCCGGCGACCAG